CTACCTAGGCTATCGTCCGAATAATAAACGTGTTTTAGTTAAATTAGTGCTAACTTCTGATTCTTTTAACTAAATTGATTTAATTTCTTATTAAAAAAAAAGGGGAGTGTTAGATCCGCTTGGGCAAGACACAAGCACTTAAATTAGATAAGAGGTGAGATTCTACTGAGAGCTCGATTCTACTTTGCTTTTTCTTGTGATTGACTCCAGCGAGTCAAACCTTTACCTTTACCAGTTACCACACTGTCGTCAAACTTTTTATTTTCATCAATCCCATAATTGTTAAACTTTTGTGACAGATTCTGTGCATTCTATACCGGATTAAATCAATCATGAAAGTATTGTTTTGTTTATAAATCAACAACATTTATATAATCTTCCTAAATTTCTAATAATTTGTAATGTCACCATTTAATGCATATGATATATGCACCTAATTTTTTCGTTTTTGCTTAACTATGTGTAGATAGATACTCAGTTACGTGAAAAATTAGGGTTGAATAAAAGATTTGAATGTTTTAACTATGGGGAGGATTATTGGGAGAAAATCTCATCCAATATTTTACCCTTTTTAAAAATATTTAGTTGAAATAAATTTACATGCCGAAAAAAAAAGAGAAGAAAGAACAAATGAAGTAAAGAAAAAGTCAAATTATATATCACCCAAATTATTTTGAATCCAAGTCTATAAAATGAATGTTGACCAAATGACCAGGAACCATAACTCTTGAAGAATCTTAAAGACAGGGAAAGAACCGAACTGGTTCACAACTACACACATCTCGATGGACAAAACACTTGGGGGCTCGGTTCGTCTAACCGTTGTAGTTGTATTGGGCACGTGTCCGCGTATACATCCCATGCATGATTCATCACGTGACCTTTTTGTAATTTTGATTTTGAAGGCGGTTAAAATGTGAATGTGAATGTTATTGTTTATCATTATTTTTACTAGGATCGAGCGCTTCGGACGGATTTTAAAATATATTTATGTTTTTAAATGTTTTATATAATTTATATGCTATTTCTTAAAAATAATGTGTTTGATAAATTTTTTGTTTAGTTTAATAATTATTTTTTTATAATTTGCATTGTTAACAATACATGTTTTCTATTAATTATTTTCAATAGTGCATATTTCTATGAAACAATAAATTTCTCTCTCTTTCTATCTTTATATCTTCATAGTTTGTTATTTTAATTTTTTGTTTTTTTATCATCTTTATACTAAAATTTATTTTATTTGTAATAACTATACTAATTATGAATATAAATTATACATATATTAATTGCATATTCTCAATATATTTTAATGTTAAATTTTGTGAGTTTAGACTTTCATCATATTTCATTTTTAAACAGCTAATTCATCATAATTTTTTCTTGATTTTATTAGATTTTTTCTCCATCATCATATTAACATAGTTTATTATTTTCATTTTCGGTCTCTTTCCCATCTTCAACATTTTTGTCTTTGTATTTTTTAAGATTGCTATTCATCAGCTTAGTGTTCTTCTTTCTTTTCTTCTTTATTTTTTTTCTTCATTTTCTTCGATTTCTATTTCTTTTTTTTCTTTCAGTTTTTCTTCATCTTTTTTTTTTGATTTTGTTTGTCTCTTATTTTTACTTATATCGTGTATGTATTATTCATCGTCTATTTCATTTTCATCTACATACTTTTCTTTATATTTTGATTTTTTCTTCTTTCTCCTTTTTTTCTTATTCTTTTTCATCGTTTTGAGTTTCATTTTCATCATCGTCTTTTTCTTTAACTACTTCTTCTTATTATTTTTTCCAACTTTTACTCTGCTTCATCTTAATAAAAAAAATGATTACAACAATGTGTTGATTAATGAAATCATTAACTTTAATATTAGTGTTTTTCTTTTATTATTAAATAAAAATAATATTATTTTAAAGTGCATGAACTAATTAAGTCATTAATTTTAATTATCTTCTTATGATATGAACACCCTAAATGGAGAGAAAACTCTTCTATTATATAATAGATTAGATGAATACCCGCATATACACGCGGATGTTTTGTTTGATTTAATATATATTATAAAATTATATTTTTCTACAAAATTAATCTATTTTTATTTTTGATAATATAAATCATCCAAATTTGTAAAAATATAGTCATTAAATGTGATTTTTTGTTTTAATATAATTTATTAATATATATTTTCTATAAGTTTAATCTAATTTTTTGTATTTGGTAATATAAATATCATATGAACTCGTAAAAATATAGTCATTATTTTTTGTAGATGTAATACTTGTTATTTTTGCACCCAACCAAATATTTCTTCATTATTATTTTTTTCAACCTGTTTTTTTTTTCTTAGTTAATTTTCAATGATAAAAATATGTTTTTGTAAGACAAATTTAATATCTTCACCAAATCGTATTTTTAACGCATTTCCATTATTCAGAAATATGTTTTCGCATATATTTTGTGTTAAAGATTAAAACAGAGAGAGCAAAAGTGGAAAAAATATGATATTGTAGTTTACGAAACCTCTATTTTTGTGATGAACTGAGCAACCTGAAATGCTATATGTCCAACTGGCCATATTAATGGTTCTTCAGCTTATGTCTAATCACTACAAATAGGAAGAGCGTCAAGAAGATGGTTTTTGTCGAGAGACTTGGTGCACTTGGAAGTAAAGAGCAAGTATTGAAATTAAACCTTATAAACTCGTCATGTTCACAGTCTATATTACAGGTTTATTTAAAAATTAAGTCCTTTAAAAAAAATTCCGCATTACCTTCTATTGCAAACATGTCTTGGATATCATAGATGAAGATCAGAAACCTAAAAGAGCAGATGAGACACAAGCCAATCAGTCAACCAAAGGATAAGGATATCAACTTTTTGCACATATCTATGGCACTTTTGTCTCAAGCTCCACCCTCAAACTTCTCTTCTTGATGAAAAGTTATAGCTACCATCCCATATTTAATATCATAACTGAAACTTCAAATCATACATCGAATAAAGTAAGAGACTTTCAACCAAAATTCAAAATAGATTTTATTAGAATTTAGAATTTTAAGAGCTGATCTTGAAGTTTTATCGTTGATTTGCTTAAACAATACAGCTCATTTCCTTGTCTTCTTTGACTAATCAATCAAGATTAAAGGAAATAAAAAAATCAATGAACATAACTTGAACCTAATCGTTCGAGATTAGCTAAATTCCTTTGAGATGAGCTTTTTTTTAACAATCAGTGGCAAATTCCCAACGGGAACAATTATAAGAGCTTACTCTCTACTTCGAATCCTCCCTTCAAAACCATCTTATCTTCTACTTTCTGCCTCGTCTCACCAAGTGTCTTCTCCATGTTGTCATACTTATTCTTTGTGCTCAAACAATGTTGTGTTCTTCCTTGTTTTTGTTGATTTTTTCCCGAGACTTCAAGTCTCAACCCTTTGTCCCAGTAGTAGCGTTGTTATTGCTTTTATACTAAGAAAATGGATCAATGTCTATGTAAACAAAACCAGAATGAATTCAATACAAGGAATATAATGCAGCTTTCAAAAACCCATAAATCAAAGAGGAGACGAAGAATAAAAAATCTTACCTATTGACTTGTGGAATTTTGAGTCGATATTAGAAAGTATTGGAGATTGTTTGAGATTTTATCTTTCCAACTTCCAAAATAGAAATTAATTTGCAGTTCATTATGAACCATAAATTAGTATGCACTTCTCTTTTGGTTTCTGTGTTCAATTAAAAACAAAATTAGTACAATTTAATTATTTAATTCTCTTATATTTTTTTTTAATCTGATGTGTTAAAAAGTTGGATGCTGATGTGTCAAGCTTGTGAGACTCAACTGAATCTTTATATAATAGATTTTGAGGTGAAAATAATTTATTATATACATACACCACCACATTAGATTGTCCATACCCTTACAAACCTATGAGATTGGCATTTAATGCATCTTTGTTACACGTGTCAAGTGACAGTGATAGTAACATTTCGCAGGAATCAGAGAGAAAAGCAGAGGTTCAGCGAAAACCATACTGTGTCTGAACCGCCGACCCAATCCGTACATTGAGGGCGAAAGGAACGCGCCAAGGAACGGTCTCGTAGCAGGCAGAATATTCTAAAGAAAGTTGGTGAAAACGTCAGAACTATGATGCAAGCACAAAATTTGAATCTAGCCAAGTCGGATCGTGGACCGATCCACCTGACTCACTATCCGCTGACCGATCCGATATACTAACCCGTATCAGGTAAAATCTTATAAATTCTTTGTCCACTTTACGAGGAAGGGAACACTCTTTTAGCCATCTTGAAGTTCATAATATCTCTCTAGATACTTATAGTCTTAAGCACTGTCATTCTATACTTTTCCAGTTATTATTACCATCTCTTCACCTCTTTGCCACGACGGTTCCTAAACCGTGGAGCTTTTCTACTAACAAACTCTTTTTTCCCTTTTTTCACTTCGAAAAGATCCATTACATCTAAAGGTCTGAGTCGATTCCACCGTTCTCAGAAACGCTCAATCCACTTTTCTTTAACCGTTTTATGATCTTTTTGGTTATCTGATTTGTCATTTAATAGTTTTTCTTAACTGTTTTCTGACTTAAAGTTTGGATAACTTTCGGAAAACACATTTTTATCGTGTTTTTCAAATTTCATGCATTTCTCACTTTTGCAGGATTTGCCCCCACAAAAGGACAAAAATTCCTTAAACAGCAATTATGTTATATATTTTTCAAGTTATTAGTTTATTTCGTTTTTTGTTTTGTTTGCTAATTGTTAGTTATTTAAGAAAGTACGAATGAGACCACATTACCATAAGATCTCTACATTTTACCAGCTAAAACGGAGGGTATATTGGTCATTTCAGCAAGACTGATTAGGACGAGAAAAAGCAAAGACTTATCTCTCATAATTTTTTTTTAAACCTCTAACTAATTCATAAATCCTTCACAAAATAGACAAAGGGTAAATTCCTTAAACCCTAAACGCGCCATTGTTATCTATCTCTTTCACCCCAAGTTTTGTGAAAAGTTTGAAATATAGAAAATCAATATTCGCAGCGTCGATGGTAGCATCAGATCAAACTTCGCTTTACTCTTCGAGTCGATCAGGTTTTTTTTTTCTCCGTCGTTTTTTATTTTCTTCCTCTTTAGGCTTTCTTGAATCCGGGAATGTTTGTTTGATCTCTGAGAATATTTCAATTTTTGTACAGAACAAGACGTTGTTGCTGGTCGTGGTTATAACGAGCATGAGGTTTTGAGTAATGTTAAAGGTTCCAATACCTCGTCTCAGTCTTTGGCGGGAAAATCGGAAAGTTGCGTCGCTGGTGGAACCAATGACTCTAGTTTATATAACTCGGATCAATCTGCTTTACCAATGACTGATAGCGTTACGTCTGTTTCTCCGGAGTCTGGTTCTTCATCGTTATCTACAATGTCGGAGGTTGAAACGGTGGAAGAAGAAGATGGTTTAGAATCTAAGGATGGAATCAAAGAGGAGAGGAGTTTCGATGATGACAACAAAAGCGATCAGGTTGTCCAAGAAGAGATTGTGAACTTCACTTGTACAGAATCTAAAGACTCTCCTATAGTTTCTGTTGATGCAAAAGAGGATTCAAAGTCAGCAGCCGAGTCGTCACAGCCAAGTTCAGATGGAACAAAAAACCTCTCTGTGGAACCTCCAGCTCCACCACGTCCAAAAGGTTTCAACATCTTTCCCAGTCTAAAACTTGCAATGGACGAAGAGAGTGTGCATAACTTGAGCGAGGCAGAGAAACATAAGCTGGAGAAATTGCAAAGTTTGCGAGTGAAATATTTGCGTCTTGTGCATAGGTTGAGGCAGTCTATAGATATTTCAATAGCAGAACATGTTCTTCACCGTCTTGCACTCCTTTCTGGGAAGGGTTCTGGTCAGTCATTTAGTCTTGACGCTGCAAAAAAGAAAGCTATGGAGTCTGAGGCTGAGGGAGAAGATGATTTGAATTTCTCTGTAAACATATTGGTCCTTGGAAAATCCGGAGTGGGAAAAAGTGCAACGATAAACTCCATATTCGGTGAACAGAACGCACCCATTGATGCATTTGGACCTTCCACAACTTCGGTTAGAGAAATTTCTGGAACAGTGGGTGGTGTCAAGATCACAATCATCGATACTCCGGGCTTAAAATCTTCTGCCATGGATCAAAATGCCAATTCCAAAATGTTGTCTTCGGTAAAAAAGGCAATGAAGAAGTGTCCTCCTGATGTTGTTCTCTATGTTGATCGTCTTGATACTCAGACAAAGGACTTGAATAATCTGCTCTTGATAAAGACGATCGCTGCTTCTCTTGGTCCATCTATATTGAAAAACGCCATAGTGACATTGACCCATGCTGCTTCTGCTCCTCCTGATGGCCCATCTGGCAATCCTTTGAACTATGATGTGTTTGTATCGCAGTGTTCATATCTTATTCAACAGTCTATTGGACAAGCCGTTGGTTTGACATATTCAGGTCCAATGACTCCAGTTTCTCTTGTTGAGAATCATCCCTTATGTAGGAAGAACAGAGCTGGGGAAAAGATTCTCCCAAACGGCCAAGCTTGGAAACCAGGGCTGTTGCTATTGTGCTACTCTCTTAAGGTTTTATCAGAAGCAGTTTCTCTATCGATTCCTCCTCAAGAAAGTAAATTTTTTGGGTCCCGAGTTCGAGCCCCACCTCTCTCGTCCATATTGTCTTGGCTGTTGCCATCTCGTGCACATCTAAAGCTCCCTGCAGATCAAGGTGGTGCTGGTGTTGACTCTGATATTGAAATCGATGACGTGTCTGATTCCGAGCAAGAAGAAGATGACGAGTATGATCAGCTGCCACCGTTTAAGCCTCTCCGGAAATCCCAGCTTGCTAAACTCTCAAAGGAACAGAGAAACGCATACTTTGACGAGTATAATTACCGGGAAAAGCTCCTGAAGAGGAAACAATGGAAAGAGGAGCTGAGAAGGATGAGAGAAACGAAGAAAAACGGGAAAAAGATAGAAGACGAACCGGAAGAAGAAGAAGACGATCCACTTGCATCGTCGTCTCCTGCTTTGCTACCGGATATAGAATTGCCAACTTCATTTGACAGTGATAACTCAGCTTATCGTTACCGTTCTCTTGAACCCACTTCAAAGTTCCTTACCAGATCACTGTTGGATCCTCGAGGCTGGGACAATGATTGTGGATTTGATTGTGTCATCGCAGAACATAGTCTCGCCATAGCTAAGCGTTTCCCAGCCGCATTCACTGTCCAAATGACCAAGGACAAGAAAGAGTTCAACATCCATCTAGAATCCTCTGTTTGTGCTAAGCACGGGGACAATAGATCCACCATGGCAGAGCTTCATATCTTAGGAAGTGAGCAGCTTATGTATTTGCTCAGAGGAGAAACCAAAGCCAAGATCTTTAAAAAGAACAAGATGACTTTTGGAGGGACAATGGCGTTTATTGATAGGAACATTGTCACTGGTCTCAAACTCGAGGACCAAATCGCTCTTGGGAAAAGGCTCGTCCTTGTGGGAAACGCAGGGACTACGAGGTCACAAGGAGACTCAGCTTATGAAGCAAACCTTGAAGTCAGGTTTAGAGAAGCTGATTTCCCAATAGGGCAAAACCAACTCGCTCTGGGACTGTCTCTAACAAAGTCGAATGACGATTTGACCCTCAAACCAAATCTCCGATCTCAGGTCTGTATCGGAGGAGACACGAGGCTAGCAGCTTCTGCAAGTATTGACAACAAAAGGTTCGGACAGGTTACGGTCCGAGCCAGCGGCTCAGATCAGTGGCAGATTTCGGGCATGGCCATTCTTGCTCTCGCTATGACCATCTACAAGAGGTTTATTCGATCAGGAGACAGTTGAGAAGGAGGCTTTTAAGATTATTAGGGTGTTTTTTTTTTTAATAGAAAACCTTTCGATATGAGATTTTGTGCAAAAAGTAGTTTTCTTCTTTCTGATGAGATGATTATATATATGATCATACCTTTCTTTTGCTGTTCATCATACCATCAATAGAAATCGTCCAATTTCTGATTTTGTTTCGCAAAATTCGGACTTTTGTACAAAGGCTTCGTTTTTTTTTTTTCTGTTCTTTATAAATAGCTCGTCAAAGAAATAGAGAAAAATCTCAAATAAAAAAAAATGGACAACGATGAAGAAGAGCACTTAAAGGCAGCTTTTGGCGAATCGTCAGATGATGAACACCTCGCAGATCGGCTGGAGAAAGAAACTGTAGAGATCAGAGATTCGACGGTATGGGAGCGAGTGGAGAAAATCGACGGTTTATGGCTCTGTAGAAACTTCCTCTCTGTTCATCATCAGTCTGATTTACTCTCCGCCATTCTAAACGGTACCATACGCACTTGCTACTGATTCTAATGTTGTTGCTTATCGAATGTTTTGCTAAATTTTGTTCATTTTGTATTAATTCTGCAGAAGGTTGGTTCGTTGAAGACTCTATTAACCAGGTACTAAACCCTAATCATCTCTTTCATTGATTTCGTTCCAGAACCCCAAAATGTCGCTTCTCTTCTTCCTCGAGATCTGACTCTTCTTTTCTTGAAGGCATTGTTAGGGTCGTTTTAGCTTCCCACTAGCTTAGAAATCTTATAGAACTCACTCTTGCTTCCGCACTCCCATAATCGGTTTATCACTGGATTTCATTCTCTTAACCCTCGTGTTTCAATGGAAATTGTTCTCGATGATCGAAGCAGATCGTTTAAGCTTTTTTTTTTTTTTCCTAAAACTAAGTCATTTCTGTAAGATATAGATAGACCCTCTTTAGTTCGATTTTGGCTCAAATTTTAGTTTGATCTTTAGCAATGAAAGCATTTTCGGTAAGATATAGATTTCAAGAAGGAAGTGTATGAGATTCTCGTGGTTGAATGGTGTGGATTCGTTGAATTTGTCTTTGTTTCCAAGAGAATGATCTGCTAAAGGCATTTGAATTTATCACGAGCATACATTTTTCTTGAACACTAACTCTGATTCTTGGATAAGTTTATGAATCCTTCATCGTACTCTCTGTCTCTCCATAGAGATAATCAGATAGAAACTCTAGTGATTCAAAGTTGTTGAATCGAGTCTAATATTTTGTTAAGGGTATAGATTTCTGAGATTTGACAGAAAGCTGAGCTTTCATTTGGTTATATATCCATTGACCGGCTTCTCTTGGTTATATCATTTTCCGAGAGAATGATCTACTTGGTTTTTTCTATTTTTTTCCTTATCATAATTGGGTAACAATGATTCTTGGTTTTTGGGTGTGATGCTTCTTGGATTGAAGTTTTAGATGATAAAGAAACTAAAGCTTCTGTCTTTTTTCGTTTTGCTCCTTTCTTTTCCGTTTTGTGAAAGGCGATGAGATTTGGTGATCTCCCTTCATGGGCAACAGAAGTATCTGATCTCATACGCGAGACCGTTGAATCTGTTGATCTTCCAGTGTTGCCTGCTGATTTACTGTGGAGAGAGCCTCTGTTCGACCAGCTCATTGTCAATTTATACCAACCAGGTGAGGTACAATACTTTCACGTAAACACTTTTTCACTTCTTTATTAGAAGAACCAATTGATCTTGCTAAGGTTTCTAGAAGTAGTTTAAAGGTTGCAAAATATGTAAAAACTGGATGATCTTTTAACAGGAGATAATGGAAAAGCTAGAAGAAACCAATAGAGTAACAGCTTGTTATGGTTTCTTGGAGCATTGCAATTAGATAGTCTTAGAGTTTCAGAAAGCAGATAATCAGTCATGGATTTTTCAGACATTACGTCAAGATTTCATGACAATGCAATGTTTTCTTAACAGGGGATTTGTGCACATATTGATCTGCTGCGTTTTGAAGATGGAATTGCCATTGTCTCTCTGGAGTCACCTTGCGTGATGCGGTTCAGTCCTGCAGAAAAGGAAGAAGATGAAGATGTGGATGTTTTGTTGAGCCCAGGGTCTCTCATTCTCATGTCTGGAGACGCTCGGTATCGATGGAAACACGAGATTAATCGAAAGCAGGTCGGGTTTCAGGTATGGGAAGGAGAAGAAATTGATCAGAAACGAAGAATATCCATCACCTTGAGAAAGCTATGTCAAGCTTAAGGCTGGACTAGCTAATTTTAGTCATCTTTTTTGTATATGTGATTTAACTAATAAGAACTTTGGATCCTCATATCTTTCTTCACATTGGTTAGGGAAAGTCATTTTTATCAAGCTATTTTAAAATAATATTTAAAATATCTTTGAAATATGTGTTTGTTAGTCAAAAATTTGATAAAAGAAGTGGAAATTTAGATGAAGTTAATGGGCAAAAAATAAGTGATAACTGATAAGAGAGTTTATGAAAATAATACTCCCTCTGTTCATAATTATTTGATGTTTTAGGAGATTTTTTTTGTTCAGAATTATTTGATGTTTTCACTTTTCAATGTAAAATTTAATGAATTTTTTATTATTTTTGACTTTTGATATTCTGTAGATTATTTTCTTATTGGCTGAATGATATTTAAATAAATTATAAATAATTTTTTTAGTGTAGAAAAAATAAAAAATTAAATGCATCCTTAATCTGTGTGCAAAAACCTTAAACATCAACTAATTCTGAACAGAGGGAGTTTAGTGGTATGTAAGGTCCTTGATATGTAAAACAAACTAGAAAAATGAAGAAGAGAACAAATATTATTATGAATTTTTGTTTTTTTTGTTCCAAATTTAGAAAAGAAAGCTGAATTTCGTTTTCCTTTTTAACCTATTGTAATAACAGATTCAAAAAGTCATCTATACTTTTCTTTTGCTTTCTAATGTCGTTTTTAAAATTATGTATATAAATAGGAACAGAAAATGCCAAGTAAATGAGTTAAAAAAGAATGAAAGGATGAGAGAAAACTTGGCAAAATATGTAACAAAATTTGGTAAAATATTTTGTATAGTATGTTTTGAAACAACTTCATTTGTTAATTAAATAATATACATTCGGTACATACGAAAAAACTAAAATTTATATTCTAAAACATTATCAGAAGATAATAATTTCCAAAAGCCATTTGGTAACCTACTAACCTCTTATTAGTAAACCGTATCCAACAAGTTGAAAATCTTTTCCTATTTATGTTCCCTTTTCTTTTCAACCTTTTTTCTATTTATAAAAAACTACAGTATTGATAAGCTGACTTTTCAACGCTCTCCGATTTCTATAGATCCACACTGCATCTACGGTCAGGATCATAGATCACAAGTCACACTCCCTAATATCTCTCCACGTGTCAACAACACTACTAACACAGCACCACCACCGACACAACCGAGTAAAACTCGACAACCTTAACTGTCATGTCCAAACGCAAAATCTCTTGTAGTAACTTTGATAAATAACAGTGTGCCTGAAAGAAAATCATCGGATTCGAATCGTCATTAATGGAAACTCAGATCTTCTCTTAAAAAGACCCCCCCAATTAGATCGTAGCAAAACAGAGAGAATCTATACGAAGAAGATGATCGAGAGGTGTTTAGGAGCTTACCGGTGCCGGAAAATCCAAAGAGCATTACGCCACTTAAAGGTAACAGTTCTCTGTCTCGTTCTTACCGTAGTCGTCCTACGTGGCACAATCGGCGCCGGTAAATTCGGAACTCCGGAGCAAGATCTCGACGAGATCCGTCAGCATTTCCACACATCGCGTAAACGAGCCGAGCCTCACCGTGTGCTCGAAGAAATACAGACCGGAGGAGATTCTTCTTCTACCGGAGACACCGGCGGCGCAAATTCCGGCGGGAGCAATAACTACGAGACGTTTGACATCAACAAGATATTCGTCGACGAAGGAGAAGAGGAGAAACCCGACCCGAATAAACCTTACACTCTTGGACCCAAGATATCCGATTGGGATGAACAGAGATCCGATTGGTTAGCTAAGAACCCTAGTTTCCCCAATTTCATCGGACCAAACAAGCCACGTGTCCTCTTGGTGACCGGTTCGGCTCCAAAACCGTGTGAGAACCCTGTCGGAGACCACTACCTCTTGAAATCGATCAAGAACAAGATCGATTACTGTAGGTTACACGGGATCGAGATCTTCTACAACATGGCTCTCCTTGATGCTGAAATGGCTGGTTTTTGGGCAAAGCTTCCGTTGATAAGGAAGCTCTTGCTTTCTCATCCTGAGATTGAGTTTCTATGGTGGATGGATAGTGATGCTATGTTTACGGATATGGCGTTTGAGCTTCCATGGGAGAGGTATAAAGATTACAACTTGGTGATGCACGGATGGAATGAGATGGTTTATGATCAGAAGAATTGGATTGGGTTGAACACTGGGAGTTTCTTGCTTAGGAACAATCAATGGGCGCTTGATTTGCTTGACACTTGGGCTCCTATGGGTCCTAAAGGAAAGATCCGTGAGGAAGCGGGTAAGGTTTTGACCCGTGAGCTCAAGGATAGACCCGTGTTCGAAGCTGATGATCAGTCTGCAATGGTTTATCTCTTGGCTACTCAGCGAGACACTTGGGGAAATAAGGTAACAACTGAAAAATACCTAATGATTCCATTTTAGCACTCTTAGATTGAGATTCATAATGCCTTAGTCGTTAAACCAACACTTATAAGTCTTCAGCATCTCTTGATTATGTAAAGTTCGTTTTTTTTGCTCATAAATCGCAATGTGAGTTGCATCTTGACGGTTCATCACTCACAAGTCACAATGTGAGTTACATTTTGTCGGTTTATAATGTCTCTTGATCATATAAAGATTAGACTTTTGTTCACAAATCACAATGTGAGTTGAATCTTGTCGGTTTATAACCTCTCTTCAGCACATAAAGATTTGAACTTTCTAATCAAAAGTCACAATGTGAGTTGCATCCTGTGGTTTTGATCTGTGATTATTGAAGTAAACTAAAATCTTTGATGGGTTTTGTTGAGCTACTCATTTGAGCCGCTGCATTGTTATAGGTATACTTAGAAAGTGGATACTATCTTCACGGTTACTGGGGGATTCTCGTGGACCGATATGAAGAAATGATTGAAAACTACCATCCGGGTCTAGGCGATCACAGGTGGCCATTGGTGACTCACTTTGTCGGTTGCAAACCGTGTGGGAAGTTTGGTGATTACCCAGTGGAACGGTGTCTAAAGCAAATGGACAGAGCCTTTAACTTTGGTGATAACCAGATTCTGCAAATCTATGGTTTCACTCACAAATCTTTGGCTAGCCGCAAAGTGAAGAGAGTGAGGAACGAGACTAGCAATCCGCTGGAGATGAAAGACGAGCTTGGGTTGCTTCACCCGGCGTTTAAGGCTGTTAAGGTACCAACCAATCAAGTTTGAATCGGATTTTGCGTTTTTTTGTTTCTTGCTATATTTATGGTCATGTGTCTTTGCTTTGTTGTTGTACTAAGATGGGTGGTAAAAGCTATTGTGCAGAGACAATCACTTTATTCTTTGTTTTTACTTCGTCTCTACGTCTAGAGTTCTTCTGCTACGAAATCAAATGTTGTCTTTTTTTTTTTTTGGGGAGAAATCCATTAGAACGTGAGATTTTGTAGCTTCATGGATCAATAATCAATGTTAATTCAAGAATATTTGGCCTTATGAAAAAGCCCATTTGACATATGAAAACTCCAACTCTGGCCTAATATTTGGATTTAATAATATATTCAAAAATCCAATATGATTCGTGGATAATGGTGGAAATAACATTTTTAAATGAAAAATATTTTGTGGCCAAGCAAATCTTGAGATGGGAGAATCAACAAAAATACAAAAACAAGATTTCTTCTTTATAAAACCAAATCTTTAATATCATCTATTTTCTCCTTTTTGTTGTGTGTGTCTTTTTGTAAGAGAGAAGATATGTAAAAACCCTAATTCTCATGACTTGCAAAACCCTAGTGTTAAGGGATCCATCAAAAACATTTTCCATCGGTGAAGATTTTACATATTTTTTTACCCAAAAAAAAGATTTTAAATATTTGGAGAATGACGTCATAATTTTGATAAAGCATAAAAAACACTAAATAGTAAATACTTTCCAACAATGTAAATATACGAAAATATTAACGATCCTGATACATTTCTTGAGAGAAACTAGAGATTAGCTTCCAAAATTTGGCCTCAAATTGTTATCTCCACATAAAGGAAAAACCTCATATACTGAATATTTTTTTTGTTGTTACAAAACGGAGCGTTCGCGGAGCAAACAAGAGATTTTGCTACTTCACCAACTGACTGGAGGGTAATTTGGTCATTTCGAGTTTATCCTCATAAAACGACTGAAGAAGATAAAATCCCAAAGCAAAGAGTCATTTTTTGTTCGCTCACTGACCTTATCTCTCCCAATTCTCTCTTCTTCAAAGAGAGAGCAATTCTCACAAAATCGTCCACAAATTATCAAAAAGGGGGTTTAATTTATTAAAACCCTTAACCCTTATCGCTATCTCCTTCCTCCACAAGTTTTGTGGAGAGTTCGATAACATCTCAGTAGCAAGCGGAGATGGACTCAAAGGCTGAACAAACGAACCCGTTTTCCGCTTCGGGACAATCAGGTTTCTTTCTTTTCTATCTTCCTTCAGAGGAATTTAATCTGGTTTTTTGGAAATAGGGTTTTAATCGGAGGAGATACTTTTATCGATTTGTGTCACAGGAAAAACCTATGCTTCGGTTGTCGCCGCCGCTGCTGCAGCCGCCAATAAGGAGGGTGGGGCTGTGAGTAGTGCGAAGGAGTTCGATTCCTCACCGGAGGCTGTGTCGGGAAATTCGGATAATGGTATTGTTGGTGGAGCCGATAATCTATCTGACGCGGAGACGGAGAAAGAGAAGGAGAAGGAGTCGTCGATTTTGAAGGTTGGAGGCGATGAGAAAATTTCCGACGAGAGGGATTCTGCTACCCCTGAGGATACTTCATCGTTATCTCCGAAGCCGGAGGTTGTTTCTGATAAAACAATCGGAGAAAATGATGTAGGGGTTGCCGAAGAGAACAAGAAGGTTGAAGAGGGTGTGGAAGTTATTGAAAACGATGGTGAGGGTAAGCTTCAAAATGGGAGTGTTGATGTTGGAGAGAAGCAGGCTTCCACGGAAGGGATAGTGGAGAGTGAGAGTAATGTGAAGGATGTGGAAGATGAAGCTGATGGATCAAAAAAAGATGTTGAGGTACCAAAGGCAGATGGAACCAATAAGGAGGAGAGTGAGTTCAGTGGAAAAGTTGATGTTGACGACAAAAGTGATGATGTTATCGGAGAAGAGGGTGTGAAGTTGACTGATAAAGGAGACTTCGATGTGGACTCGTCCGTTGTAGAATCTGTGCATGTTGATGTGGCAACACCAGGGGTGGCTGTTGTAGGGGATGTAGAAGGAATTGAGGAGATGAAGATTAATGCTGATGTTGAAAATCTTGAAGTGGCTAATAAGTTTGATCAAATTGGCGATGATGATGGTGGTGGATTTGAAGTTGAGTCTGACAAGGCCGTTGTTGAGGTAGAAGGAAAGTTGACTACTGGAGCAGACTCTATCGCAGACTCCTCTAAACTAGAATCTGCGGATACCAGTGCTGCAGAGCCGGAGGTTGAAGCTGTCGGGAGTGGGACTGAACCAAAAGATGTGGAAGAAGCTAATGGTTCCGAGAAGGGTATGACTTACGCTGAGGTAATAAAGGCAGATAGTGCAGTAGCTGACAGTAGAACCAAAGAGGAGGAGAGTGGTTTGAGTGGCGTAGTCGATGAAGAAGAAGAGGCTGTGAAGTCAACTGCTATTGAATCTGTGCATGTAGATGTGGCAAAGCCTGGGGTTGTTGTTGTTGGAGACGTAGAGGGGAGTGAGGTGCTGGAAACTGATGGTAGCATCGCCGATTTACATAATAAGTTTGATCCAGTTGGCCAAGGTGAAGGTGATGGAGTTGAACTTCAATCTAATAAGGTCACCGAGGAGGGAGGAGAGAACTTGACTAGCGAAGGAGACTCTATTGTTGACTCCTCTGTGGTGGACTCTATTGATGCTGATATCAATGTTGCAGAACCAGGTGTTGTGGTTGTCGGGGTCGCGAAGGAAGCTGAAACCAAGGCGGATGATGGAGATGATGAGGTTGTCAAGACCATCCCAAAAATTGAGGAAGCTGATGACCTTACTGCTGCATATGATGGAAATTTTGAATTGGCAGCTAAAGAAACATCAGAGGCAGCCAGAGTAGAGCCTGACCAACCAAAGGTAGGTGTGGTAGAAGAAGAAGAAGAAATGCCTGTTTCTGAAAGTCTTAAAGTGGGTTCAGTTGATGCAAGAGAGGAATCAAAGTCAGCAGCTGAGTCACAGTTCGAGGCAAACTCTAACCCAGAGGTCCGGGAAGTTTCTGAAGGGGACAATGCTGAAGAAGGTGGAAATAAGAGCCCAGTCGCAGACATTGTTTCTTCTCGTGAGTTTAGCCTTGAAAGCAAGGAAGTGAACCAGGAACCTTCTGGAGAAGGTGATATCGGGGTTGATGGGTCTGAAAGTGAAGAAGAAACTGAAGAGATGATATTTGGGAGTTCTGAAGCTGCAAAACAGTTCTTAGCAGAGCTGGAAAAGGCTTCTTCTGGTATTGAGGCCCATTCTGATGAAGCCAACACTTCAAACAACATGTCAGATAGGATTGACGGCCAGATTGTCACCGATTCTGATGAGGATGTAGACACAGAGGATGAAGGTGAGGAGAAAATGTTTGATTCTGCAGCTTTGGCTGCACTGTTGAAGGCAGCCACTGGTGGTGGAAGTTCAGAAGGTGGCAATTTTACCATAACATCTCAGGATGGTACGAAGCTTTTCTCTATGGATCGCCCTGCTGGTTTGAGTTCATCTTTAAGACCTTTGAAACCTGCATCAGCTCCACGTGCAAACCGTTCCAACATCTTTTCCAATCCTAATGTCACAATGGCTGATGAGGGTGAGGTTAACTTGAGCGAGGAAGAGAAACAGAAACTGGAAAAGTTGCAGAGTCTCCGTGTGAAGTTTTTGCGGCTTTTGCAAAGGTTGGGGCATTCAGCAGAAGATTCAATTGCAGCGCAGGTTCTTTACCGTCTTGCATTACTTGCTGGGAGGCAAACAGGGCAGTTATTCAGTCTTGATGCTGCAAAGAGGAAGGCTGTGGAGTCTGAGGCTGAGGGAAACGAAGATTTGAACTTCTCTCTTAATATACTGGTCCTTGGAAAAGCTGGTGTTGGAAAAAGTGCTACGATCAACTCCATTTTGGGTAATCAGAAGGCGTCCATTGATGCTTTTGGGCTCTCAACCACCTCGGTAAGAGAAATTTCTGAAACAGTCGGTGGTGTCAAGATTACCTTTATTGATACCCCCGGTTTGAAGTCTGCTGCGATGGATCAGAGTACAAATGCAAAAATGTTGTCTTCTGTAAAAAAGGTGATGAAGAAGTGTCCCCCTGATATTGTTCTCTATGTGGATCGTCTTGATACTCAGACAAGGGACTTGAACAATCTGCCCTTGCTAAGGACAATTACTGCATCTCTTGGTACATCCATATGGAAAAACGCCATAGTGACATTGACTCATGCTGCTTCTGCCCCTCCTGATGGCCCATCTGGTAGCCCGTTGAGCTATGATGTGTTTGTATCGCAGTGCTCGCATATTGTTCAACAGTCTATTGGGCAGGCCGTTGGTGATTTACGTTTGATGAACCCAAGTCTGATGAATCCAGTTTCTCTGGTTGAGAATCACCCATTGTGTAGGAAGAACCGGGAGGGAGTGAAGGTTCTACCGAATGGCCAAACTTGGAGACCTCAGCTGTTGCTATTGTGCTACTCCCTGAAGGTTTTGTCAGAAGCAAATTCTCTACTGAAGCCTCAAGAACCATTGGACCATCGTAAAATATTTGGTTTCCGAACTCGAGCCCCGCCTCTCCCTTACTTGTTGTCTTGGCTGTTGCAGTCCCGTGCACATCCTAAGCTCCCTGCAGATCAAGGTGGTGATAGTGTTGACTCTGATATCGAAATTGATGATGTATCTGATTCTGAGCAGGAAGATGGGGAAGATGACGAGTATGACCAGCTGCCACCATTTAAGCCTCTTCGAAAAACCCAACTTGCAAAACTCTCAAAGGAACAGAGAAAAGCATATTTCGAGGAGTATGATTACCGGGTAAAGCTCCTGCAGAAGAAGCAATGGAGAGAGGAATTGAAGAGGATGAAGGAAATGAAGAAACACGGGAAGAAAGTGGGTGAAAGTGAGTTCGGTTTTCTGGGTGAAGAAGAGGATCCGGAAAACGGGGCTCCAGCTGCAGTGCCAGTTCCATTACCCGATATGGTCTTGCCACCATCATTTGATAGTGATAACTCAGCTTACCGATACCGTTTCCTGGAACCCACTTCACAGCTCCTAACCAGGCCAGTTTTGGATACCCATGGTTGGGACCATGACTGTGGGTATGATGGTGTCAATGCAGAACACAGTCTTGCTATAGCAAGCCGGTTCCCTGCCACAGCTACTGTCCAAGTCACCAAGGACAAGAAAGAATTTAACATTCATCTGGACTCCTCGGTGTCTGCTAAACATGGCGACAGTGGATCCACCATGGCAGGGTTCGATATCCAGGCTGTAGGTAAGCAGCTTGCATATGTGGTCAGAGGAGAAACCAAATTCAAGAACTTGAGGAAGAACAAGACGACTCTTGGAGGTTCAGTGACATTCTTGGGCGAGAACGTTGCCACTGGTGTCAAACTCGAGGATCAAGTAGCACTCGGGGAAAGGTTTGTGCTTGTAGGCAGCACAGGTACCATGCGATCACAGGGAGATTCAGCGTATGGTGCAAACCTAGAGGTCAGGCTTAGGGAAGCCGATTTCCCAATAGGCCAGGACCAACACTCTTTAGGTTTATCTCTGGTGAAGTGGAGAGGTGATTTAGCCCTCGGAGCCAATCTCCAATCTCAAGTCTCTGTTGGAAGGCACTCAAAGATAGCACTTCGTGCAGGGCTTAACAACAAGATGAGCGGGCAGATCACAGTCCGAACCAGCAGCTCGGATCAGTTGCAGATTGCTCTCACGGCCATTCTTCCAATTGTCATGTCCATCTACAAGAGCCTTCGACCAGAAGGGGCGAATGACAAGTACAACATGTACTGAATATGTCTGCAACTCCCTCTGCTGAAGAATACTGGAGAAGGATCTTTATGTTACTGGTTTTAGTTCATGTTTTTTTTTACTCCCTTTAATAAAAACTTTTGTTGAGATTTTTCTCAAAGTTGTATTTTGTTCTGTTGAGAGGTACCTGTCGGATTTATCTTGTATCAGTAATTCATCACTTTCAGTAATTCCTCAGAAAATGGTGTCTAGTTCAGTCTTCTTTTGGTTCTACTTCTCATGCTGATAATGTTGCTTGGATTATGTTTGCTCATTTGTGACTTCAATTTCCGCAGAAGATACTAAAGGCTCGTTGAAGAATCTTTAATCAGGTGCGTACTCTGATCTGTGTTTATTCGATTTTGTACCAAATATCCACATTTCAATGTGTTCTTCATCACCAGGATCTTACTGATCTTCCTTTGTCCCTTGAAGGCCATGGTACGTATTCTGGCTTTCCCACTACTTCAGTAATTTGTAAAACTTCTGCTGCCACACTCCAGTCTCCACTCATTGTTTTATTTAAATGCTTTGAAATAGATTCCAAGTCTCTAAATCCCTTGGAAATGATCGAGTCATAGCGGCAAATTGGACTGGATGATGAACACTTTGATAACAAAAAAGGATATTTCTTGGTGGATTCAATCTGTGGTAGTTGCAAAGCCTTTAACTTTGGGGATGACCAGAGGCTGCCAATATATGGATTTACCCACAGTTCATTGGGTAACTGTACAATTAAGAGAGTGAGGAATGAGTCGAGCAATTGGATTCTAAAGACGAGCTGGGGTTGCTTCACATAGCGTTTTAAGGCGGTCAAGGTACAAATCAGTCCATTTGATTGACCTGGGTTAGGATTTGTTACTGTCTCTCTTTATCTCTCTCTCTTTCCGTCATACGTCTTTGCTGTTGTTGAGTTTAGAGAAGATCAGTTGATAGAAAAAAAACACAAATTTGCTGCTCTAAAATTTCTGTAATTTATAGAGAGGTGAATAGTTCCAGAAATTGTGTTTTGTTTTGTCTGTTTTAAAGCTAAAGACATATCTTCTTACTTGTCGTTTTTAAACCCGACATGGAAGGAGACTTTAAGGATAAGTACGTTCAGAAATTAAGGTCCAAAGTAAGATTTCCTCAATCAAACATGCACTAAAGTCTTTGGATACTATTCTCACTAATCAGTAGTAACTCCGTAGTTAAGATATTTCAGTCTTTGTATTAAAGAACTGTGCTGTTTTATCATAGAAGAGCTTGAAGATTAGATTAATAGTTTTGATCCAACAAAGATCTCTCACACGCACACATAACTGAAGAAAAGAAAACAGAGTACTGAGAAATTGGGCAATAAGGCAGCCACTTATTTACTCTGACCATTATTATTTTGACTGTAGCAGAACCATTTTTTCCGTTTAAGAAATTTCTCACTGAAGGATCTTCTGGGAAGCCGGCCTCTTGGTGATCTCAGCCACCCACTCGTTGACACGTGGACGCTCGGTGAAGAGCTTTTTGGACGGTGAACCGAGAAGGTATTGAATCACAGGAATGTGGTGAAGATCGGTCAAAGTAAAAGTGTCACCAGCCAAATACTTGAACTCCTTGAGCCTAGCCTCGTAGACATCAAGGACCTTGGCTAACTTAGCCTCTTCTTCAGCAACAACGGCTTGGTCTGTGGTCAACCCATACATGAGCTTGAAAACTTGTTCCCAAGCAAGCTTTGAAGCCACTGGGTCGAACTGGTGAGCTTCTACTTCTGTTCCAATGGCCATGATTGCATAGAGAGCTATGTTCTTGGGGTCGGCTGGGAGAAGGTTGGTTCCTTGGTCTTGGTATCGGTGAGCTATGTACTGAGTAATTGCTCGTGATTCTGTTACAAAAGAACATGTTAGTGATTTTTTCTTCTTTTGTATATTGTCAAATCAGATTTGAGATTGAAGATGACACGAAAACATCCATACCGAAGAGCTTGAGGTCTCCATCTTCAAAGGCTGGAACTTTACCAAAAGGCTGCAGTAACAAATCAAACACAACATTCAAGATTCAGACCAGATTTATCCAAATAGTTGGTCTTTTCATATAGAAACACAAAGATAGATAAAGATAGATAGAAGTGCTTACGTTGCGGGAGAGGAAAGGCTCTTTCTTGTGCTCACCGTCTTTGAGATCAACATGAACGAGCTCAAAGTCGAGGTTTTTCTCGTGGAGGGCGAGGAGGACTCTCCTGGTGGAAGTGGAAGCAGCGTGTCCGAAAACTTTGATGCCTGCCATTTGATTTGGTTACTATGATATTCACTCTATTAAGACTGAGACAAAAGAGTAAGAGATGTGATGTGTTTGATGTTGAATGTGAAGGTGATGAAGCAAGACACAAGTAGTGATGGTATTTATACAGGTAAAAGAACAGAGCATTTTATGCATTGTCATTAATGATTATTATTATTTATTTAACAGATAATGATGCCTGTACAAGACCGTCGCAACCAATATTGACTAGTCTGCTTGGAGGATTTTTTCAAAGTGGAATTTGGATTGATTAACGTTTGAATATTTGTTTTTACATTTGCTTATGCGATATAGTTTTTTAAATAAAGCATTCAATGTCATGAGAGAAAAGATCAAACAAAGTGCGTACTAACGGCCAAATGACTCAAACTTAGTCAAGCTTCATCAACTATCATGAATGACATCCCTTGGTTATTACCGGTTCGATCTTGTTTCGGTAGTTTTGTGATCTCTAAATTGGCATCCCTTCTCGGTTAAATGAGTTTCTGTTCATATGAAATTTGATAGAGAAAAGGTTACTTATAACTATTTCAATTTGGATTTCGTTAGGATTTGATGGAGCAATGATTACTTTAGAAATTGAATATTTAGCATTGCTTTCCGCATTCCGGTAAGGAGGAGTTACTCTAGTGGTTGAAAAACGAGGCTTGATTTAAAAATTCTTTTCAATTTGGTATTCAAACTTTACTGTCTGAAAAAAATCAAACCTTTTTAATTTGTTCATGCAAAGCAAGTATGAACAAATGCATAAAGAATGATAACCAAAGATGCTAAGAAATTTGGATTTTATAAAACATTTTTCTTCCTCGTTTTTTATTTTTCTTTGACAATCTATAGAAAAATACACAAAAACCCCACAAAAAGTAAACAATTTGTAGCCTATGATCATATTCCCTTAAGCTGTCCCAAAAGACCTGTCAAAGCCGTCCATTTCTCAAATGCACCAGCCGATGAAACGAAAGCAAGCTTCGATGACTCTATATCGTTCTTGTTCACTGCGAAAACAAATATCAAAAACAAGATTCAAGAAGATCTTCATTATATTGTAAATAAACAATTTGATTCTTGTGAATGGAGACTTTGAAGAAGAAGAAGTAGAACAGACCTGATGTAATAAGAGAAGCTAAAGATGAATTAAATGTTTCCACCTCTGTATTCTCTTCGGGGCTTGTACTCAACTGTCACAAGAACACAAAGAGGGAGCTTCAACAAACAGTAACAAAACCATTAAACAAATTCAACCTGTTTTGACCAGTTGTATATACATTTAACCAATTGGTTTGACCTTTGTGAAGAGTTAAAAAGCGCGAAAAAAAAAACCTTTGTGAAAGCCAAATTAGCCGTTTTGACCCATTCGGTATCAACGCCTTTCCCCAAAACCAAACCTGCAGCTGGTAGATCATTGTTCTCAATGGCTTGTCCTACTTTGCTTAAATTGTAAACAAGATCCTGCAAATACCCTGCAAACACACTAAATTCTTATAGGTTTGGGAACCAAGAAGATCATGACAAAAAGAGAAAAATTCACATTTGTTCCCAAAACAGATACAACTATTCCATCTATTTGTTCTGATTACTCCATGTTGCACAGCTAGATTAAGGTTCAATGTAAGTAACACTGGAACAAGCCAATTAAACAATGCAGATCGTAACACAACGAGAAGGCACATTTGTCCCCAAAAGAGTAAATCTTTTCCATCAGTCTGTTCTGAATCTTCTGATCACTTCATGTTACGTTGGAAGAAGATGAGAAACAAAACTAGACTAAGGTTTACTGTAAATGGCATTGGAACAAGCCAAATAACTATAAAGACTAGAGTAACCTGTTTGATTCTTCAGTTTATTGTTGTTACCAAACAGTCTTTCTAGGTTTTTTTCCAAACACAGCCAAGCTTTTGCAAATTTCTCAACACGTAGACAAAACAACAACAAGCAAGCTTTGCAATACGCTCAACAACACACACAGTGACACACATAAAATGCAAAGATGAAAGATCGAGATTTTCAATGAAAATTTGAGGAAATATCAAGAAGTACCCTTTTCCTTCACAGCAGAATTAAGAACAGCTTGTCTCTCAATCCTCTTCTTCCGATCTTGCTTCACCTTCTCCATAAGCTCTTCATCGTCATCAGCTTCAAGAATCGCTGCATTCGCGTCGCGGCTTCTTCTGTCATTACCCACGAGACCAATCGCAAGAAAGCTGCTCATAAATCCGAGAGACAAATCTCGTCTGTTACATAACAGAGACGATGTCTGGTTCTTGCTGTTTCCTGAGTACGCAATTTGGTTCTTCTTCGAAGAAGTTGATGAAGAGATAGTGGAAGAGAAGAATGGGTTTAGGGTTGAAGAACAAAGGAGTGATTTCGCCATTTCTCCTTGTCTTTATCAAAATTTCTACTTTGCATTTTTGGAGGATTGGTTTGGTTTATGGTTTTAGTTTTGGTGATGATGAAATTGATGATAAGGTCTCTCGCTAGACTTGTTGCGTTGTGTTGTTTTCCTCCAATCACTCACTCTCACTATTTTTTCATTTTTTTTCTTCACAATTTTGCATTTTCTCCCCAAAAAAATAAACATAATTAGTGTGAACCAAATCCAGTTAAACTAAACAACCAAACCGAATTGAGGTACACCAAAACCAATTTAGAGTTAATCAATTTTATTTTTGAAAATGTAATATCATAGGAATTTACTATGACTATAACTTTTAAAAATGTTAAGATTGACACATTGGTTTGAATTGGGATAAAATCATTTTACCAAAGCAATATTTCCAACTTTCACCATTAATTAACAAGTAATGAATACAACAGATCCTAAATTATCCCAAAAAGAAGAAAATTCTTTAAGGCCATAGAAGCAAATCCACAATTTTTTTTTTGTTTTTAATTACTTCCACCACCAAAACTGTCGAAACAAAAACAACTTCCTCATCCTATTATTATAAGCCATGAAAGCTCTAGCTTTGACAGGATCACCATTCAGATACTCAAATGCATACATCTGTTTTGCTTCTTCCAACCCATCAATCTCCATCACTGCTTCCAACAGTTCCTCTGTATTGATCAAACTTTTGCTTTGTTCAACTGCGTCTGCTAAGCGACGAATGCTAGAGGCAACCGCTAACATCGCTTCTTGGAACGGATCTGAGCTTCGAGGTCGTTTTAGAGGTTGCCTCAGAGGATTTGGAGGAGGAGGAAGATCTCGAGACTCTTCATTCAAATACTCATCTGCTCCTGCGTAGGACTCTGTTCCATCTGTATCGCTATGCTCTTCCGAGCTTGGTAATGGGAATGAAACAGAGTCTTCTTCAAAATGTTTAAAGTCGTTTAGATTCTGATTGATTTCAGTCTTCACCTTGTTATATCGACCTGGAGCTTGACAGTCACCGCATACTATTCTAAGTTCCTCGTACATCTCAATTTGCTTTCCTCTAAATGCTTTCGCGTCTGGGTATACCTGTTCCAACCATTTTTTTAAGTTACAATAGTGAACAAAGAAAAAGTGAAAGAGCAAAGATTATGGTATATATATAAATACTTACAGCAATATATCTATTCCAGAGCTCGTCACTTTCACAATCGATCCTTTTTGTGCTTGAGTTCCACCAGAATCCATCTCGACTAAGTATGTCTTTCATTACTTTGTACCTTTTCTTGATTGTCTTCAGGCGATTGATGACTTTTTGGCTATTAAGGTTTAGATTGAAACGAGTATTAACAGCAACACAAGCAGCATTGTATGCATTCTCGTTGAAGCATTTGTCTACTTTGTTCCCGTTTTTCGCCTGGACAGCCAAAGCTTCAATCAGACACTTATCCATTCCAACGGACCATACAACATTTCTCCCTTTATGCTTCATCTCTCTTCTCTGTACTGGTAATCCGTATTGATCCATTCCTGTTCATTTAGGTTAAAAAAAACCATGAAATTTAGAGCACAGTATGTCAAAAAAGTGGTTGCTCATTTCATCACAAGAGGGATAAATATAGATGATCAATCAACTAAAGTACCATTTCTAAGCATAAATCACTATAATTTCACAAACAAAAAAAATCTTGGTTGTTCGCACACACAAATAAAGATGGCTAAAACTAGCTTCCAATTCGATCAGACGAATCTGTCCCCAACTCATTCTGATAAATCTAGTTACAGTGAAATTTATATCTGCAATGTCTAACAACAGGTTTTATAGAATTCAGACTTGAGAAATAATTTTATCAGAAACAACGGAAACACATGCAATGGAGTTGTGCTCACAGAGAATGATTACATACACTCTATTGACAGAAAGACAGATTATGGTCAGATTAAAGTGTGTTACTAGGCTCTAAACTCATACATCATCATGATAGCAACAATGATTGAGCTAATGACAACACCATAATTCTAATAGTTTTCAGAAATCTTCTTCGTCTTCATCATTCTTCACTTCTATGCTTCTCCAAGGCATGAGCAATCATCTAAACTACTGGTATTGAACAACGAAAAGTAGCATAGAAAGTAAACCCCATTTCTAGTAAGCTGATATTCGATGGTATTGACAAAAGCAACTTAGCTATCTACTTATTGTAGGGACAAATTTGAGAATTGAGCAAGATCGAAACATATCTATCTACTTCAAGCTAGCAGCTGCAGGAATAAGAGAGGTATTAAGATTGAAGAAGGCTCCATTTCCATGTAATTTAAAGCTAAAGAAGCCAAGAAAACGAAGCTCTATACCATTTGAGAGAAACGACCTCACACTCGGTTCTCTCTTCCAAAAACTGGAGGAAGAGTTCTAAAACTAATTTTAGCTCAAATGAACCAAATGAGTAAAACAAAGAAACATGTCGATGATCTCGACAGAAATCAAAGGCGCATACCTTGGCTAAAACGAAATTAGATTGATGGTGGTTTTGAATCAAGTCAGATCGCCGATCAACGGAGTCGTCAAAAGTGACGGAAGTGCAAGTGCGACATTTTCGAGAAGGAGAAGCTCGATTAGGGTTTGGTTTCCCCTTTTTCCTTTTTTTTTCTTTCGAGAAAAAATGGGATTTAAGTAAAATTTCTCGAATCCACCTGAGTACTTCTTTTCTCGAAAACCAAAGTCGTCCCGGAAATTTCCCCATTAGCGCTTTCACAATACGGTGCGTTTAAAAACCTGTTGATATGGACCCAGAATCGTTATTCTGATATTTTCTTGCCATTTCCCGGAAAATTTCTCTGAGCTTTTCTCCAGTTTTATTTTTTACTTTCTGTCTCGGTCTTTCACTTACCGATTACTAGCCACGTGGCATCATAAATGACAGTGAATAATCTTCGGGTCGAATATTACGGGTCAATTCTTTAATGGGTCAACTTTGAAGATACAATTCAGAAGGCCCATATCCAAGATTTGAAAGGCCTCGGGTTAACGGGTCCGAGCCGACTCTTCTCCAAACGTAAACCCTAGCTACCTCCATCGTCTTATATATTGCCGCCTGCAACACCTTTTCTTTCAATTCAACGATCAATCCGCCACGTACCATCAGTTCTTATGATTCTTGTTTCAAGCTTTCATCTTTTTTTTTTTTTCTCCCTTTGGTTATTTTCAATGATTTTCAAATTTGAAATCGTTTTCTTTTTGATTTTTGCGTAATTAGGTTTTAGAGTTGAAGGCAGTGATGATGAAAATCTACCTATTTTATGAGGAATTCTCTGATTAGAAATTTTACCAATGGATCCTTCTGAGCCTTCGATTGATAATGTTATTTTTGTTGGTTTTTTCACAATTTAGTTTTCTCGAGTCAAATTTTATTTTTCCAGAATGATTTTTCTTTTTGTGTCTTCGAGCATGATGAGAATGAGCCAATGGAATGATGATTACACTTAGCGGATATATTAATTTATTGTGTCGACCAAAATACAGACTACAATTATCTGATCATATGGCTCTCATCTATCTCCTTCGTTAATCTGTTTTCTTCTTGATCTTTTTTTCCGGTTTTTTTTCTAAATGTTAAGAATAGGAACATAAATGGATCCAAGACACTTTTTGTGTATCTTCTTAATTGTTAAGATTAGGGACATTAATGGACATAGGCAGTTGTTGTTACGATTTACTTAAAAGACTGTAAACCAGAACAATCAAATAAGAATTACCATAAAAAAATTGGAGACTTCATTCTGTAACGAATGAACAAACCATAACCCAAGTGAATGGGATCATAATTAAGTTTGACTTATCTTTTGGAAATCAATAAAACTTGTGTGCATCTTCACAAGAAATATATACCGTCAAATTCATAACAATCTAATCCATGGTACAGATCATTTTGATCTATCGATTTGAACGAAAATTTTCTTTTAGAAATTGGGATGGAAATTTCCATAACTGCAAACTTCACAAAATTTCCAGAAACAAATACATACGAAAACTGTAATCTCATCAAGTGAAGCTAATTGATACAGTATTGAAATTGACTTTGATCATCATTACTTCTTTAGTTTTATCATCTCTAATGTATCTTTTGTGAGATATTAATAAAAATGTGTCTACAAACAGTAATATGCTAACTGAACCGTGAGAAACAAGTATTGGGTATCAAAAGAACTAAAGTCTCATATATGTTTTAACGCCATCTTTTGTTTTGGTTCCAATAAGGATGAGAAGAAGAATCATATTTTCTTGTCGGTTGTTGTTGTCCCCTCATGTTAGGATGGTTCCTAGTTGGGCTATGATCAGGACTCCATGATTCAAATCCTGGATTACTACTACTACAAATGTACGGCTGTTCATTCCCTTGGTAAGAAGAAGCCGATCCAATCCCGTTTGCTCGATGTGGGTAGTAACTATTCTGACTCTGCTGGGACCTCCACGAAACAGAATTAGCTGTGCCCATTTGTCCTATTGATTCCCTAACCGCGTACGAGGTTGTTGAGATTGGTTGTTGTTGTTGTTGTTGAAGATGTTGACTCTGATGAAGTCTAGGTTGCATAGATTGTTGTTGATGTAGTTGTTGTCTTTCTGTGTGAGGCAATGTGAGTGAGTTATAAGCTGATGGAGCATGTCGAGTGATCAACTGTTCGTTTGATGATTGCCATTGCATTGAAGCAACAGGAAGCTGAGTACTCAATCTAGCAACTGCTGCACCAACTTGGTTTTGCCTTGAAAAGGGATTCCGAATAACTTCTTGTCCCCATCCGCTCTGCAAAAAAATGGAACAAAAGCACTCACTTAAGATATAGAATAAGAAATCAGTGAACACTAAGGTCTTCTAATAAGGCGTTGTGCTCCTTAGGTTAGATCCAACTGCTGAAGAATCACATTTTCATATTCCACTATTGTGATAGCTAGCTATAGCTCGTATCTCTGTAGTTTTTTCTCTATTATCTATGTGTGTCATGTTTTCAAATCAGTAATTATCATGTGATTCCATTTAGCTGTATTATTATTAGGGTTCAAGATATCTCGGCGAACGTTGGGGATGCATCACAGATTTCGAAAAAACGCACCATTCCAGGATTCGTTGATGGAGTGGGAGATGGAAGGGAAACTTCAACCTTTTCTTCAACCTTGTAATTTGAGCTACAGCTTGAATTTGGAGCACCATTTTTAATCACATCAAGCAGTTTTACCATATCTTGGCCGGCTAAACTACCGGGCTTACCAGAAGTCAGCGCATATAGAAGATCCGGGTTCTTAAGTAACGCGGCTAATAATTCAAAATCAGGTTCCATGGAACTACTTCGAGATGAAGAGGTTGTGGCAGCACCAGCAGCAGTTCTCCGTTCATCAAGTGAATCCTGTGGTTCTGTTATACTTTCTTCCGGTGGCTGTTGAGTCGGAATTTCAGGTGTCAAACTGTCATCAAAGTCCATTTCCCTATCCCATGGTTCCTTAGGATTCAACGGTATAGCTTGAAGAGACTGATATGTTGTTTCTTTTTCTCGCCGGTTTCGGTTTTTCTGAACATCAGCCTCCTTGCTATTACCACCAGCAGCAACTCGCCAGACTTCGTCAAGTTCCATTCCTGCAGAAAACTAGGCATGAGAATGAGGCCTGAATAGCCACCAAAAGATAAGTGAACTATTGTAACATCCCTGAAAAGTCACTTTCAGCTATTCCCTAAGTGGTCAATGAGATGGGAAAGTCAAAGAATTGTATACCTGGTGGTACATGCCAATCAATCTGTTTTCTCTTGCAATTCTTTAGGATAGTTTGTGGACTCATTTTCAACAGGACTCCCACCTTACTTGAAATGCTTTTAGGAGGTGTTGAAGGTTTTCTAAATTCATCAGCTTGTACTGGGACATTTACGGCTGGTGAATTTACAGGCTGAACAGCAGAAGGTTCAGGTGTGTCTTCCGCCTTAGCTTCAGTGCACTGACTAAGTGGAGAATCCTTGGCTGACTCTAGTGCCAATGGCTTCTCAGGAACAACGGTTCTCGAATCACCAATCGCACTTGGCAAAGGATCCTTTTTACTATTCTTGCCATGCATATAAAGAGCACGCATCTTTGCTTTCTGAATATCATCGGCCGACATAGGGCGGCTCCGACTTGAAGTTCCTATTCTAACTGTCTGAGGACTCCTTCCGGCAGCTTTTTGCCCTGGTTGCTCCACCATCTGAACTTTCCTGCGTTCTTTGTTATCTGCTGCAAGCTAAGGAAGCTGACTTTGCTAACTTTTTGACAAAATACAACCATTTGGTGCGTCAATAAAAGAGCTCAAACACAAGGATACATGATGGAGTTGAACCAAGCATATGTTTCTTGGTGGAATCATCTGCAGAAGTAAGCAACAGTTTTGGACCCTGTGACGATTTCAAATTCCTGAACCAAAAGATAACCAATAATAATGAAACCACTTAATTAACAAACGGGAACCTGTGCTAAATGGAAGATAGCAATTACTGATACCTGACATTCTCTGACCTTCCGTTTGAGAGACTAAGAATATCTTCCTGTTACAACACAAAAAAAGGATTTATAGAACTGATGTGGTTGACATAATAGAAATAGATTATGGCCCCCACTTACAGGATTGCTATTATCACCCATTATTTCAGCAATACTGCAAAACAAGACAAAATTCTATGAGAAAAACGTCACTAAAAAACCAAATGAGAGGTAAGCAAAATGTATATAGTCAACAAATAAACCACAACTTGCCTCTGTTTCAGAAGCATTTGACTCTGCGAATCAATTTGCGAACTGTTACATTTTTGTTTCTTCATAGCTTGGATTTTCGCAAATAATTTGGTCCATCTTGATAACAATCCTTTTGCCCTGTTTGATATGCCTGATCTTCAAATCAGATAATGAAATCGAAGAACTCACAACACGAACTAGGACACTAATGAAGGCTACACAGCATTTAAGTTTTAAAGGAAATAACACCTGGTATCCTATAGAAACGAAGTCCATTGACGCTTTGCAATATGGCTGACATATTTTCAGGAGATGCTTTGTGGAGAGGCAAATGACAAAGAACCTGCGTTCCAAATATCAACTATAAAATACAACAGTTTGAAGATTTTAACAGCAATCCAGTTGCAAGTAAATTAATCGTGTACCTTCAGGATAAGAAGTAAGACACTAGTTTGCTCTTCAATAGCAGCTTGACTTAACCATGTTGTAAGTATCAAAACCCCTCCTTTAGATAAAAACCTGTGCACACATAGAAGATGACGGTCAAGACGGGAATATCAAAACAATAAAATAAAATAACAACATTGAGGGAAAGAAAATCCTCAATTCGTACCAGATCAGCGCAGAAGAATCTTGTATCTGCATGATCCACTCCATTAATTTCACCTGGCCTGAAAATGTTTCTTCTTTACGCAACAGAGAAAATATGTTCTCAACAAAGTATTTTTCTGAATCACTGAGGTCAGGTGGAATATCATCCGGTGGCATAAGTGCCACTGTTTCACCTTCACCACAACTTATAGATGATGCCTCTGGATACGTAGAGTTCAAGGGAACGGGATCAACGTGAGTTCTAGTATTGTTTTCCGGAACACCATTATCTTGTAAAGCATCATTTGTACTGGACATGATCACCTTCTCCCTTGAAAGCCGCACCTGTTTCCTTACTCTTGTCTTTTGAGTAACAAAAAAGTCTCGAACCTGCCATTAAAAAATTAAAAGAGATACCACCGAAATCTCATGAGGAGCTCAACATGCCGGATTATAAAAGCATTGCCAAACAAAGAAGTCATCAAGAAGCAGAACAATACCTGGGCGACTGTGATACCAAATAGAGCACTTATCTCCCGAGATTCCTTTTTACTAATAGCATCTTTAATTGCGAAAACTGCTTGCAGATACTTAACAGCCTTTGGATTCAACAAGTCTCTTGGCCGCTTTCCTGAAATATTTACAAATTCATCAGTTATGAGGCATCAAGCAAGCAACAGTTAGGTGTGCTTATTCTAAAGAACATAGGGAACAACAATGAATTTAAACACTATCTGTGCAATACCTTTCAGACAAAGAGAAAAAGAGATGAAATCATGAAAGAGATAGCAGTGACAAATTTAGTATACCAATACTAGAATTACTAATCAAACCAAAAAAAAAGTGCTTGAAAGAAACTAAGAGGAACTAAATCAGTCCATATGTACATAGCCAGTTATACGCACAAAAATGCCAAAAGATGGCATAATTCCTAACAAGACTCACCAATTTTAATGGACAAAGCACCAGCAGCCTGCAAAAATGAAAACAAAACAGATCAGTGTCTCTAATAGAGAAGATAACAATGATTACTTGAAGGGAGAAATGACAGAAGAACCAAATATCCTTCATCATATAAACATTTGAACCACCACCATTACAGGACGAACCCACATTGAGATATGGACTCCATAGTATAATTTTGAAGTCGTCGAAATTAACCAGTTCAAAGCAGAAATGGAGTGCTGGAGCTACAGAATTTATACCAAAATCCGAATAGGCTAATCCTTCTGAGTCTTGCCCATATCACGGACAAAAAAAAGACGAACTTTCGATGCTAAAAACACAATAAAATGATAACCCACCATTTCTTGCGCGAGGGGGTTAACGCCGGTGAGTTTGCATTGCGTAACGACGACATCTTGGAGCTGATCGATCTGGCTGTGGAAAAGCTCCTTCTGCGAATCCAGCAGCTCCATTAACGACTCCACCGAGCTCCCTATTTCTATCTCCTCCTTGAACGCGTCGTCCATGGCCGCCGACGGAAAACTCGAAGACCAATACGCAAACGGAATTCAAAATGTGCATCAGGGAAATCCGTCTGTGCGGAGACTCAGTGAATCGAAGGTGAAGCGACAGCTGAGACGAGAAATTCAATGAACATGTTACCTAATTTCGGATTTGGCAAGTCGAATCGGGTTAGGGTTTGGGTTCCTCGTAAAGCATAAACGAGTAAAGATGGGCAGGGGGGCATAAAAGTAAATAATGTTAGAAAAGGTTGGCATTTGGCAATACGAAGAAAAATCCCAAAACGCATCGTTTTAAGCTCTAACCCTAAAACACAGCGTTTTGTTGTAGATCTGCAACTGTATAATGAAAACATAAATAAATTTTAAAAGGGTAATAAATTAGCACCAAAAAAAAATTAAAAAGGTAAGAAATTAAATATATTTTGGCTAAATAAATAAGAAGAGAAGGAGTTTGTTTCCTGAGATATCTCTTGTATTTCGTTCACCGCCCTCTTTAAGGTCTCGCTTTATTTCTCTCTTTTTAAGCTTTTCTGAACGATTGTTAGGGTTTTGATTTTCTCTCGCATATCTCTTGATCGCATAAGCTCTCCCGATCCTTTTCAATTGAGAATCGCCAATCGTCAAGGTCTTCGAACGACTTTTTCTGATTAGGGTTTAAGATCTCGCGTTATCACTACTTGTCTCGATTTCACGCTTGTTTTGTTCCGTTTTACTATGGATTTTGATTCATTTTGTTGATTCCTCGGTTATCGACGTGATTTTTTCGTCTGTGTGGGGGATCGGGATTGTTAGGGTTACGACGGTCTATCTTGATTGCATTGGTACTTCTGATTTCGTGATTAATCTCATGGATTGTTGTTTTCCGAGTGTATCTATTGCCGCACATGCTTCGTTTTCCTTTTTTTTTTTATCACCATTTGATAGTCTGGGTTTTGTGTTGGGAGATAAAACCATTTTGGAATTCGATAATGTGGATGTTATTATAACCTCGGATGATTAACGATGTCGTTGTTCATCTCGTCTCTATCATTTCATTCTTTGGTTTTGTTAATGTTGCCCTGAATTTTGGTTGTGCCCTTGTTATTGCGTAGGCTTAGGTTCAGGAGAGTTTTAGAATCCATCTTTCGACATGGAGCGCAAGACAATTGACTTGGAGCAAGGATGGGACTATATGCAGACTGGTATTACTAAGCTGAAACGGATTCTGGAAGGTCTGCCTGAGCCGGCATTTGACTCTGAGCAATACATGATGCTTTATACGTAGGTTTTCTACTTGTTTATTTACCTTGTAGCAGTTTGCTTGTTTGTAACTGGTATGGACCGTTGTGGACATTCTCAGGACTATCTACAACATGTGCACTCAGAAACCGCCTCATGATTACTCACAGCAGCTTTATGACAAGTATCGTGAAGCATTTGAGGAATACATTAACTCAACTGTGAGTATTAGTGATATATAGTTTCTATTTTATAAACTCCTCTCGAATTTTGTACTACCTTTACTCATTCTCTGAGTATTACGGTTTTACTTTTGTTATGGTTTTATATGCCTGTAAGTCTGGTGACCTTTCGAGTCTAAAGTTGATCAAAGAGTTTGATTATTTGCATTCTTCTTTTCTGTGCGTAGGTTTTGCCTGCTTTAAGGGAGAAGCATGATGAATATATGCTGCGAGAGCTTGTGAAAAGGTGGTCTAACCATAAAGTTATGGTCAGATGGCTATCCCGCTTCTTCTACTATCTCGACCGTTACTTCATTGCTCGGAGATCACTTCCACCACTCAATGAAGTTGGCTTGACATGCTTCCGAGACCTGGTTTGGCACTCGTTCTTGTCATTTATTGCTTTCCATTGCTTCAAAAATTTTGTAACTCATACTTGATTTTGCTACTTCAGGTTTATAGTGAGCTGCACTCCAAAGTCAAATTAGCTGTAATAGCACTTGTAAGTATGAATCTATAATGTGCATTTATTCCCAACTCTTATTTTTGCCTTATTCAAGATCTAACATGACCCTTTTTGATGGCAGATTGATAAAGAGCGGGAGGGAGAGCAGATTGATAGGGCGCTACTGAAAAACGTATTAGATATCTATGTAGAGATTGGAATGGGACAGATGGAAAGATACGAAGAAGATTTTGAAAGCTTCATGCTTGACGATACAGCATCTTACTATTCTCGCAAAGCAGCAAGCTGGATCCAGGAAGATTCTTGCCCTGATTACATGCTGAAGGCAAGTCACGTGTTATCAGTTTCTAGATTTTGTTTTCATTTCACATTAGTAAAATGTATTTGGTAACTCTTGTTCTCTTATATTACAGTCTGAAGAATGTCTAAAGAAGGAGAGGGAGAGAGTGGCTCACTACCTTCACTCAAGCAGTGAGCAAAAGCTGGTTGAGGTTAGTTATGATACAGTATGCACAGCATTATGTCATTATGCATCAACTTAAACGAGCCATGAGATCATCTGTATTTTGAATAGAAAATTCTTACAGGCTCTGGTTTTACAGACAAGTGTATTATCATTATAAAGTTTTATATGTATTTGACTCCTGTATTTATCATTTGTATGCAGAAAGTACAACATGAGTTGTTGGTAGTGTTTGCAAGTCAGCTTCTAGAAAAAGAGCACTCAGGGTGCCGTGCTTTGCTGAGAGATGACAAGGTGGAGCGACGTTTTCTTTGTTTTTACTGTTAATTAGTTGTTCTATTTGTTTCTGTCTTTGATGGAGTATTTGTAAACTCTCAGGTTGATGATCTCTCCAGGATGTACAGGCTATATCATAAAATTGTGCGAGGTTTGGAACCTGTTGCAAACATATTTAAGCAGGTTTCTTACCTATCTTAATCATTTTCTTTATGGTTAGCAGGGGAATAGTCTTTTCTTCCCGATCTACTTTGACTCTCTTAATTACTGTTCAACATTAACTGCAACTTGTAACTTGTTTACAGCATGTCACAGCAGAGGGTAACGCACTTGTCCAACAGGCTGAAGACACGGCAACTAATCAGGTTCATATTGTTTTTTACTTTTTTGATTCAGAAAAAAATTGCGTTTTGTCTGCCTCGCCTGTGATTGCTAAGATATATTTTTATTCCACAGGCCGCAAATACTGGTAGCGTGCAGGAGCAGGTAAAAACCGTATCAACTGATTATACAAGTAATATGTTGTGGAACTTAGCAATTCACTTTTTTTTTGCTTTCAGGTTCTTATCAGAAAAGTTATTGAACTACATGATAAGTACATGGTCTATGTCAATGAGTGTTTCCAGAACCATACCCTCTTCCACAAGGTTTGATGTGCTTTCTCTCATTCGTCTATCTTATGCATGCATATAATTTTGCTATTAACTCAAGGTTTCTGAAACCTATTGTAGGCTTTGAAAGAGGCCTTTGAGATCTTCTGTAACAAAACCGTCGCTGGAAGTTCAAGTGCGGAATTGCTTGCAACATTTTGCGATAATATCCTCAAGAAGGGAGGAAGTGAAAAGCTGAGTGATGAAGCTATTGAAGATACGCTTGAGAAGGTCTTTTGGTCAAACGGTTTTTGCTCAAATCGCTTTTCAATTCTACGGGGATCGGTGCTGAATTTTATAATGTTGTTACAGGTGGTCAAATTGCTTGCTTATATAAGTGACAAGGATCTTTTTGCCGAGTTTTACAGGTTTATCTCCAACTCCATTTTTTTTTAATCATTGGATTTGGCTTTTTTGCTCGTAACCTTTGTTTTTCTGTTAATATTTTGTTTATGTTAGCTCTTTGTTAAGATTTCTTCCCAAGAATATAGTACTGGAATGACGAAAATTGGAATAACAATTTGCATGTTGTTTTGTTTATGGCTGTTTTGCAGGAAGAAGCTGGCCCGTAGGCTCTTATTTGATCGCAGTGCTAATGATGATCATGAGAGAAGTATTCTTACAAAGCTCAAGCAACAATGTGGTGGGCAGTTTACTTCTAAGATGGAGGGCATGGTTAGTTGAAGTGTCTCTATACTTATTATCTCAAAGCGGTGGCTGCTCTGACGATTTATGCTTGCGAATATTTAATCTGTTGGTTACAGGTGACGGATTTGACATTGGCGAGAGAAAACCAAAACAATTTCGAGGAGTATCTAGGCAACAACCCAGCTGCAAACCCAGGGATTGATTTGACCGTCACTGTTCTTACCACTGGTTTTTGGCCAAGCTACAAATCATTCGACATAAACCTACCCAGTGAAATGGTAAATCTCTATTGAATTTATATATACCTTAAAAGGAAAAAGGTTTGCTCCAGGTAAATCTAATCCGTCGTTTTCTTTGTTTCAGGTCAAGTGTGTTGAAGTTTTCAAAGGGTTCTATGAAACGAAAACGAAACATAGGAAACTGACTTGGATCTATTCACTAGGAACTTGTCACATCAACGGAAAGTTCGATCAAAAGCCCATCGAATTAATTGTCTCTACTTACCAGGTATCGTTTGTTTCTCAAAATCTGGTGGTATATTCGATCTCTTAAATAGTCTCTGATGCCAGTTTTTTCTAATATCATTTACTTCCAGGCGGCTGTGCTTCTGCTGTTCAACAACACGACGGATGCATTGAGCTACAGTGATATCCTAGCTCAACTGAACCTAAGCAATGAAGATCTAGTGCGGTTGCTTCATTCCTTGTCATGTGCCAAGTACAAGATTCTTCTCAAGGATACAAGCACAAAGACTGTTTCCCCGAATGATTCTTTTGAAGTCAACGCCAAATTCACCGATAGAATGCGCAGAATAAAGGTCTGTGAGAGATTATTACTCAAAAACACGGGCACACTTTCATGTGTTCATAATCTCTCTCTCTCTCTCTCTCTCTCTCTCTCTCTCTCTCTCTCTGATATTAACTTTGTATGGTTTGCAACACAGATCCCTCTCCCTCCAGTTGATGAAAGGAAGAAAGTTGTTGAAGATGTCGACAAAGACAGACGCTATGCTATTGATGCTGCCATAGTGAGGATCATGAAGAGTAGGAAAGTGTTGGGACATCAACAACTTGTTTCTGAGTGCGTTGAGCAACTTAGCCGAATGTTCAAGGTAAGTTGGATTATATATTGATTGAGATATGCTTTTAGTGAATGAGTTTCTGGGGCTTACTTGGATTTTGTGATTCTGCAGCCTGATATTAAAGCGATCAAGAAGCGTATGGAGGATTTAATAACCAGGGATTACTTGGAGAGGGACAAAGAGAATCCTAACATGTTTAGGTACTTGGCTTAGTGCAAAACAACTATGGAGGTGGTTGGCTCATGAAAGAAACGTAATGAATCGAAGTATCTACTTTTGTATATTGGAATCCCATTTGGTTACTACCCCTAAAAAAAAAAAAAAAAAAAACCAAATTATCGCCTTGTTTTATAATTTTTTGTTTCTTTCTTGACATTTGGTCGTGCGTTTTTTTTTTGTTTCTTGGGATGCAAATTGCCTTTTTGGGTTTTGTTCCTTGGATATTGATGGAGATGGGCTTAATGAATGAATCTCTGCTTTCAAATATGTTTCATCATTCGTTTGAGTTTCTTGAATCCTTTTGTGTAAATTCACATCCATAAGTATTTGCAATATGCAGAACTTGATGATATATGCACTATCCAACAGCTCCTGTATCGTGATTACACTTTTTGGCTTTGGAAATACATTTTGTTGTAAAGATCTGTCAATCCAATGTGTTAATGAAATACATTATACATATTTGGCATTTGATTGATAAACTTGTGTAGATTGAACATCAATAAATCTATCATATCTGATATACATAGGCCGGTTTGAATTTCGTAATTATCCATACTTTTCTATCCTTTTTTCTTTGTCAACAAACCTCCTACATTAAATCAAGTTTGATAGGTATTGCAGTTGTATGTTTTCTCGTTTTCTTATAATTTATTGGTAGTTTGGTACTGATACGGTGACAAACTAAATGGGGCCTCTTCTTTTTTTCATGTGATTATACAAGTTCCACACCTTAAAGACGATGGATTTATAGATTCATAAAATCATATACAAACACCAATCTTCAAAAAAATTTGCCAAAAAATAAAAAAAAAAGAAATCAGGCACAACAGGCCAATAGGGTATAGAGAAGACAAAAGCTAACGAGAGTTAAAAAAATTTCACCAACAAAGATCTCATAAAAAAGCCAGGAAAAATGACTAATGGCTGCATAAGATTGACGGTGTTCATCTACTAAACAATAAGAGAAACACCTATATCTAGATTTTCATTCTTCCATTTCTACTGTACCCACATGCTCCTTTGCAAACTGCACCCGGTCTGGTGCTTTCCTCACACGTGGGAAAAAAAAATTATCGAATATCAAATAATTCATCTTTTTTTTTGAGAAATGGGTCTTTTAACACTTAAATATGTTGGCCCGTATGAGTCTGACCTTTTATAAAAAATACCCAAATTTATACCCAATTATGAAGTGGACTCAGGCCCAAAGTACTCTGTAGTCAATATTGCGCCAGGTGATGATAGTGAGTCTAGCTCCTCCTTGGTATCTCTGGTTCTTCTTCTTCCTCAGATCAAAAAGCCTCGTGCCTCTCTCGTTTTCTCTAAGTTCTCGAAAATGCTGGCTAGGCTTGCTGCTAAGCGTCTTCTCGAGATCCGTCAAGTTTTCCGCCAACCACCCTCGCAGGTACCTCTTGATTTTTCTGCTTCTCTCGGATTTCTCCGGCGTTCCCGATCTCATCCTCGCTTTGATTTTGTTCCGTTTCTATCTTACAGGCGTCTCGTAGCTTATCGACAGCCTTAAACTACGTGAGTGTTGGATATTTTCGTTGATCTATTCTTTAATTTTTTCGCTTTTCTATTTTCGTTATAAGGTAATCTGATTTTTGTTGTTGTTTTGATTACTCGTAGCACCTCGATTCTCCTGATAACAAACCCGATCTTCCATGGGAGTTTTCAGAGGCAAACAAATCTAAGGTCAGTGAATGTATCGCTTCTTGCTGTGATAATGAAGAAAATTTACAACGTGTTGAACGAATTGGGAATTTTTCCAGTATGTATTTGAACTCGTTTCGTTCTGTAGATTGTTGTCACCTTAGTTAATATCCGGGGGATTGTGTTTAGAACAGTAAATGTAGAAATAAGTTATTTTCTTACGGGAAAATGTTGGAATCTTTAGGGCAACTAACCTATTGATTAAAGATCAAAGACCAGAAAATACGTTTCAGATACTTCTTATTATCCTTTTATATAGAGCATAAGGAGTTTATGAATGTCTCTCTGGAGTTGAGGAAAACAAATCCCAACTAAGACAGTCTTTTGGCTTCTGAAGTTCTGGCTAGGCATCATTATTCTGTAGAAAGTATGCTTAAACGGCAAAGACTGCGCTTTTCTAATACTTTCGAGTCCCTTTAAATTCTTTGAAATCGCTATCTAGGAACTGATTTAAGGGAGAGTCAAGCATTATGTTCCGAGTAAGAGGTCCAAATGAACTACTATTGTGGCAGAAATACTGTCAGGAAATTATTCTGTGGAGTAAAAATACTAAGAAATTTTTGTGCATTTGGTTCCTGTTTACTGCAGCCGTTATGTCTGGCTGCAGTAATCTTGCACAGAAAGTGAACTCTGTTTCCTCATGCATCCAGATATTCTTGGCATTCTAATGTTTGGTCCAAACTCTGTAGGTTAAGGAGATACTCTCTTACTATCCATCAAACTACAAGCAGTCTGCAGTTATTCCTCTTCTAGATCTTGCACAACAACAGCATGGAGGCTGGCTCCCTGTTTCAGCAATGAATGCGGTATGTTTTAGTTTAAAGAATTTCAGAGTTACTCTTAGCAAATGAAATGATTGTGAGTTTGTCTTTCTAGTTATCTACTTTTTTCTCACATTTTTCGCTTTTGTTTGAATTTCTGTAGTTCTTTGGTTCCTTTTTAATACAGCATCAGTTGATATGATTTTACGACCAACATAACAATAAAACGAATCTTACAGGTTGCTAAAGTTATAGAGGTTGCTCCTATCCGTGTGTATGAGGTTGCTACATTTTATTCAATGTTCAACAGGGCAAAGGTAAGAAGTAGCTCTTACTACTCACACACTCAAGTTCTACTATACTCGTCAAAACAAAGATTGCACACTCATTTTTCATTTTCTCTTACAGGTTGGAAAGTACCACCTCCTAGTTTGTGGGACAACACCTTGCATGATCCGTGGTTCACGAGAGATTGAATCAGCTTTGTTAGACCATTTGGGAGTGAAACGTGGTGGTAAAGCTCTATAATGACCTTTCATCAGTGAAAAACGAAAAACGACCTTTCATACACAATCATACGGTGATATGCAGTCATATAAATCTTTGGTCTTCTGTTTGTTTGCAGAAGTCACAAAGGATGGTTTATTCTCTGTTGGAGAGATGGAATGCATGGTATGGATTTCGCATCACCTCTTTACTTTGCTGATTTGTTGGAGACAATGTAGATCTCATGTATTTGATTTTGTTACAGGGATGTTGTGTTAATGCACCCATGATCACTGTGGCAGACTATTCCAATGGATCAGAAGGATATACGTATAACTATTTCGTATGTCAAAATCGTCAATAACATTTTTGTTTCTCCCGCGTTATCTTCCTTTCATTTGTATCTCAAGATGACAAGATGAAAATGTTATTTACAATATCTTATGCTACAATACACAGGAAGATGTTACACCTGAGAAAGTCGTAGAGATTGTTGAAAAGCTGAGGAAAGGAGAAAAGCCACCGGTAAGACACTTAACTAACCCATTGCATTTGGATACTTTTCTGATGGTCTTCTCGTACTATTGAAATTGCATATCCAGTCATATAAGGGTCATTATGTAAATCTTTGTTTCAGCATGGAACTCAAAATCCGAAGAGGATCATGTGTGGACCAGAAGGAGGAAACACGACACTGCTCGGCGAGCCGAAGCCACCGCAATTTCGTGATCTTGACGCTTGCTAAAAGCTAAGTTTTATGTGGTTTAATAACGCAAAAGGCTATAGTGATGTTTGAAGCCTATAGCATCAAATTGAGTTTGCATAATCTCTTTGTAGTCTTCTTGGTTGTGGAATTTAGACCCCCCATTTTAAAAACCAATGGCCAAAAGCGTCCTATTTTGTTATTGTCTCATTTCAAGACACATGTGAAATCGTTGTAATAAATACTTGTATGCGTTTCTTCTACAAGGCCAAAATTTTCGAAATTAAAAGAAAAAATAAATTTTAGTTGGCAGAAATCAATCAAAGAATTTCGTGAAAGGGGCTTTGAAGTTTTTTTTTTTTAGAAGGTTAAAAACTCATTTCAAAAATTGAAAAAGCATCATCACATCATCGTCATTTTGTTCCAAAAACTTGATTTTTATAAGGCAATGTTCACCAAAGATGGTTAATAGAGGGAACTCACAATTTTATTTGATTACTTTATCACTCCAATTCATACAAAATAAAATAAGGAATAATACAAATTCATATATTTATATTTTTTTCAATTTGTACATAAACACAACAGGTCCCACAACTTCCCACTACTACTACTAAATACCCCTTCAAGCTCCTTCCTCAACCTCCCACTAGAGTCATGGAAACAAAAAAAGAAGCTTTCATCAAAGTCCACCTATAAATAAAGTTAAAATGATTATTTTAATCAAGTGAGCTTTTTGACAAATTCTCCCTTCTACTACAAATCCTACATTGATACTATCTCCAAAGCTTTTTTACTTTTTTTACCTTTCAATGAGAACAAAGATGTGGTGTGGGAAGGAGAGATGAATCAGCAAGACACCAGAGTCAAGTAGCAGTAGAAAGCAAAAGCCATGTTGAATTTCTGTACAAACCCCATACTTGCACAAATCCTACGGTGGAGGATTCGTCTCAGGCTTAACCACTGAAGATGTATCCGGAGGCTGAGAATGGTAAATCGCCATAGCCAACGAGATTGGCATCATACAAAGAGCCTTAGATTGGAGAAGCTGCATCGCAGCTCCAACATTTTCTTCCATCAATTTAGCCACTTGACGTTCAGTACCATCATTGGACCATTTCTCCCAAGCAGGTTGCGGAGTTCTTCCACCGTCACTCGTTTCATCCTATTCCATATTATAATTCACCAGTTTGAATCAAAACCCATCACTAAAGTTTTGATATTTTCTTCATAAAAAGATCTTTTTTTTTACCTCAACTGATGATGACAAAGGCATATCAGTAACAAGTGGAGCAACTGCGCCGGCTCCACCAAGACGACTCATGCTCAAAACCTACCAAAGTTGACCCAAAGAGAGATATAAATCATCATTCAAAGGGATAAGTTTTGATCCCATGAAAATTTTTAAAAAAGTTTTTTTCTTTAGATGAGCATGGAAGATTTCACAAGAAACACATAAAATAATTAAAAGATTTTATTATCTTATCAGAGATCCATCATTGCATACTATTTCTTTAGTGTCTCCATTATCTTTTAAAGTAAAGGGAGACTTCCTTTTTCGCTTGCGAGAGCTTTAAGCAACCGACTGCATTTTTTTTAAATAAAAAGCATTTGATCTAGCAGATTATATTATAAATGGGAGCATGATGATTATACTTGATGTTTTAATATGGTATTATAATCCTAATCCGTGATTAGCCTCCATATGAAACAGAACAAAAAGTGTAAAGAGACTAAATGCCAAAGGAAACAAAAGCATTTTAATCTTGTTTATTCTTTACCACATTAAAAAATCAATCTAATCAGATTGAAATTTGGTTGAAGAGTAGGTAATGGTGGGACCATAACTAAGACCAAAAATCCATCCGGAGAATTTAACATCACTTAATAACTTCAAAGACAGTTTTTTTTTTAAGATCTCTAATCCTATGAACAAACAAGAAAGAAAACAAAACGGCTAGTTTGAGATTAAGACTGGTTAAATTACCTTAACTTGGAGTCTTAGAAACTTTACATAATCCACAATTTCATCGATCATAGCAGCTCTATCTGTCTGCAAAGGAAGGAAGAGAAAAACATTAAGTGTGAAACCTTTAAGAACTTCAAAATAACAGAAATGAGACATTATTCCCAAGCCTGAAAATTTTATTTTACAGGTGAGGATTAGGGAGAAAGATACCGACCTTGTTCACAGTAGGTACAAGTTCCTGCAACGCCCTGATCCGTTCTGCTATTCTTTCCCTACGTAGCTGTGGCAAAGTTAAAAGCTTTCAGCTTTACTCATCTATAAAAACACGATGATGACGTTTTTCTCACTCGAAACAAATGAAGCCTACATCTTTCAACTACTTGATGTATATAATCTTTCAACTACTTGATGTATATCACAAGGAAATACATAAGAAAATCTAAAGTAAAGTGTATCAAACTTTACCCGTTCAGCGATGCTATGTGGATCAGTAGCCTGACCACGCCTAGCTCGAACCCTAGGACGGATTGATGTAGGCTGATGTGGCGCCGATGGAGCTGGCTGTTGCATCGGCTGCCCATGGTAAACCTACCAACAACACATAAGACGTTAGAATGGATGAAGAATCAAACTATTTACACAAGAATTGACGCCATAAGTTGTAAAGGAAATGAAAGCAGTTTCAGCATAATATCAGTTTTAACTAACGAATTGTAAAGAAAACATTTACTGAACCGTAAGGGGGAAATGATACGACTAAGACCTTTAAGAACACTCATATAACCAAGTTAGACAACAACATCAACTAGTGCAAAAATTTCCCAATGAGAAACAAAAGCTATGTAGGAAAAAAAAACTCAAATTGGGTTCTACTAAACAAACCAAAACCTGTTAGATTCAACAAGTCTTGAGCCAAAATACCACCAACAACAGTGCTAAAAACCTAAACTTTACATCTATAATCTTAAGTAATCCCAAAGACTACCTTTATTTTTATGATTTCAACTACTTACCATAGAAAGACAAAAAAAAACAAAAAAACAAAAAGTTGCCAAAAATGTTAAAAAGAGGAGAGATTAAAATCTAAACCAAGAACTTAACCTACAGGTTTCATAGAAGAGCATCGATTATCAACAACATCATCTGAGAATCGTTTCCCACTTCCATGACCTCCTTCAGGTCTAAGAAAGCCAGGTCCTTTCCCTTGGTCGAGACTTAAACCTAGAGGAAACATCTGATTGTGAAATCCAGTTGGTCCACTTCCTCCTAACCCAGCCATGTGACTTCCTTCGTCGCCGGAACCCAACTGCAGCATCATCGGCGGTGCTCCTCCGCCTAATCCACCGTCTACTCCAGATAAACCGGCGGCGGAAGATGCTGAGAAGTTAGGAAGACCAAGGATGTGCTCGAAGAAATCATCAGAAGGTGTTTGGTCAGAAAGGTTCTCGTGAGGGTTGTTACCAGCCATTGGTTTGAGTAAAAGAAATGGGATTTTTGACTCGAACGAGTCACGATGAGTTACGATTAGCGAGTTCTAACCTTCAAAGAGGAAATCTACATGCGAAAAGCTATGATTTTTATTTTATTTTTTTAATTTGTTTGGTTGATTGATGCTTTAAAACGAATGAGGACGAAGAAGACAGAGACGAGAAAGGAGCAGAAGAAAAGTGTAAACTTTATGCTCTGTTTATAAAAATTGTCTTTTCGCAAAAGGACCTTGCTTTTTCGGATTATTTCACTTTTGCCATTCTCTTCTAACCTTCCAGAAACAATAATTAAATGGGCTGGGCTTTTCCCAAATGGGTCTTCTTTTTATTTATATTCTAAACATGGGCCTTCTTTTTAATTTATTCTTCGTAGTATTATCCGCGCTAATTCGGACAACAGTTTGGTTTCTCTGATTAGAGCTGAGTTGGCAATTGACATTTGACACATGCATGAATCGACCGCGACCTCTGTCTCGGACAAGTGAAATATATAAAATTAATTATAAATCTATAATCGGCCATGTTAATCGTTGAATGACAGGCATTGTAAGATAAACTAATTATAATACAACAAAATAAAATTTTAATTTAGTTCTAAACATATCTCCAAAAAAACAAAAATCTTCCAAAAAGAACTATAAATTTAGGATTGTGAGGGGGGTTTTATATGAATAATTTGGACTGTCACTTTTTTTTGAATATTTTAATAAAACCTTAATTTGGACTGTCACGTTGTTATCAAGTTTTTACCGTTTAATGCAGAGCTTACATTTAGTTCGTTAAAGAACCTAGTGGGCAGCGAATAAGTATTTTTACATAGTTTTCATATAAAAGTTAGAACTATAGACTTAAAAAGAAACAGAGTTTGAAATTTGGGAAACCAAAAAGAAAGGGAATAGAGTATATAGTATGATTTATTAACAGATTAATTGATTGATTACGAGTGTGAATGCAACGCGGAATAGAAACGAATAATGTGGAAACTGGAAAGTTAAAAACGCGTTTCCTAATTTTCCGCATTATTAGAAAATAGAGTAACAAAAAAAGGAAGGGATAACAAATTAGCATTTATTCATTTCTATGTCTGGTTATAATTTACATGAAACCTCATAGATTTTTACCATTAAAAAATTATGATGCTGACAAATCAAGAAAATATAATTGTCACTCAGACAAATCTTCTCACTCATTTCATCTTCTTCTCTTTCTCGAATTTGTCTTTGCAGTGGTAGAGAGAAGATTCTTCCTTGTCCCGTTTTTGTTCTCAGATCGAACTTCCTTTCTGGAATTTTTTCTCTTTTCTTTCCTTTTCTTATAACTAAAGAGAAATTCCGGGGAAAAAACTGAGAAATGGGTCACGGAGGAGAAGGTGTGTCGCTTGAATTTACTCCGACGTGGGTCGTCGCCGGAGTTTGTACGGTAATCGTCGCGATTTCTCTTGCGGTGGAGCGTTTGCTTCATCATTTCGGTACTGTTCTTAAGAAGAAGAAGCAAAAACCCCTTTACGAAGCCCTTCAAAAGGTTAAAGAAGGTACACATACACACAAAAATTCCTTTTTTTCTTCTTCTTCTTTCATTGTGAGTGGGTTCCACAGATCTTTTTCGTGTGATTCTTTTGGGGAACAGTGATTAATTTCGATCGAATTGTTGTTCGTCAGTTTTGTTTTTTTCTGGATTCGATAAATGAAACAGTGTTATAACTTCTTAAGGTTCTTAGTTTATAACTTCTGCAAATAAATTCTGCATAGTTTCTCGCTTAAAACCAAGTTTTTGTTAGCTTCGTTACCAATTCGATGCCTTATTTTTGGACCACATGTTTGATAATATCTTTAGTGAATTGTGACTGCATCAGATTATAAGCACTTCGAGTCTTAAAGTTCGAAATTTTACTACTTTTAAAGGTTCTTATTTATAAAATCTGTAGAGAGGTTGTTCCCTTTTGATGTATGCATAGTTTCTCACTTAAACCAAGCTTTTGTTACTTACGGATTCGATGCCTTATTATTGGACCAAATGTTTGATAATATCTTTAGTGAAATGTGGCTGTATCAGATCATAAGCAGCTCGCGTCTTAAAAGTTTGAATCTTTTTGGGGATTGCAGAGTTGATGTTGTTAGGGTTCATATCGTTGCTACTGACGGTGTTCCAAGGATTCATCTCCAAATTCTGTGTGAATGAGGATGTGCTTATGCATATGCTTCCATGTTCAAAGGATGCTAAACTTGAAGCTGAACATAAAAACGTAACAGCAACAGAACATTTTCAGACTTTTCTTCCTATTGTTGGAACCACTAGGCGTTTACTGGCTGAACATGCTGCTGCTGCAGCTGGTTACTGTAGCCAAAAGGTCAGTTTATAATACCTCTAGGGATCTTGATAATCTTGTTAGGTGTTCTCTTGCTAATACTTTACTTCCCGTCCTCTTTTTGTGCTTTTTGTTTTGCAGGGTAAAGTACCACTGCTTTCTCTTGAGGCGTTGCACCATCTACATATCTTCATCTTCGTCCTCGCGATATCCCATGTCACGTTTTGTGCTCTCACCGTTGTGTTTGGAAGCACGAGGGTGAGTTCCATATTCGTCTGTTGTTTAATGCAAATTTCTCATGTTTGAAACCTTGATTGATTCATGTTTTCTGTGTTTTATGCAGATTCACCAATGGAAGAAATGGGAAGATATGATTGCAGACGAGAGTTTTGACCCTGAAGCAGGTAATCAATTGTACGAGTTTTTTTTTTTCTTGCATTTTACCAGATTTATACACAAAATTCATATGAAGATGCTAGCCTAATCTTGTATGCATTTATTTGGTTATTTGCTGTGCCTTGTGCAGCTCTTAAGAAAAGAAGGGTTACTCATGTACACAACCATGCTTTTATCAAAGAGCATTTTCTCGGCATTGGTAAAGATTCAGTTATCCTTGGATGGACGGTATGATATTTACAAGTACAGTGCTTGATTTTATTTCGATTATTTGTCCTTTGGAACTATACCTGAATGTTGAGACTATGTACAGCAATCATTTTGCAAGCAATTCTATGGATCTGTGACGAAATCAGATTACGTGACCTTGCGCCTTGGTTTCATTATGGTAAATCTTGATCGTTTTAAAAGTTGCAAATTTCAAAGCTTTGTTTTGATCATTTAGACTAACATCTATCTTGTCTATACAGACGCATTGTAAGGCAAACCCCAAGCTTAATTTCCACAAGTACATGATGCGTGCTCTTGAGGATGATTTTAAACAAGTAGTTGGTATTAGTTGGTATCTTTGGATCTTCGTCGTCATCTTCTTGCTGCTAAATATTAATGGTATGCATCACAAGATTTTCTTACGTCTAGTTTCGATCTAAATGAAATGAAATACTTACATTTTCAAATATATTGACGCTACATTTCTGTATCTTGCAGGATGGCACACGTATTTCTGGATAGCATTCATTCCCTTCATTGTGAGTCCATTGTTTTTTTTCCCCATTTTGTTTACTTAGAATGTGCTCAATCTTCTTTTCGTTAAACTAAATTTTGTCCTTTTTTGTACTTTGAAATATTGAAGCTGCTTATTGCTGTGGGAGCAAAGTTGGAGCATGTGATTTCACAGTTAGCTCACGAAGTTGCAGAGAAACATGTAGCAATTGAAGGAGAGTTAGTGGTGAAACCATCAGATGAGCATTTCTGGTTCAGCAAACCACAAGTTGTTCTCTACTTGATTCATTTTATCCTCTTCCAAAATGCTTTCGAGATTGCGTTTTTCTTTTGGATTTGGGTAAGTCAAGACAGATTCTTTTTGATAAAAATAAACTTCCAGATTCACCTGACATGATTTAGACTGATAAGTATACTTTGTAGGTTACATATGGCTTTGACTCATGCATTATGGGGCAGGTGAGATACATTGTTCCAAGATTGGTTATCGGGTAAGCTAAAAAGATTTGAATTTTCTCTCATGTTGTTTCGTTGAACACATCTCGGCTTTTACTTATATCTTTCTTCTTCTCTGTAGGGTCTTCATTCAAGTGCTCTGTAGTTACAGTACACTGCCTCTTTACGCCATTGTCTCACAGGTAAAAGCTTCAGAATCTTTTGGTTTGGTTTTTTTTTTCCGAAATTTGTCTGAAAAGCTCATCATCCTCTTCTTATGTTACAACAGATGGGAAGTAACTTCAAGAAAGCTATCTTCGAGAAGAATGTGCAGGTTGGTCTTGTTGGTTGGGCACAGAAAGTGAAGAACAAGAGAGACCTAAAAACTGCAGCTAGTAATGGGAACGAAGGAAGCTCTCAAGGTGGTTCTGGTTCTGGTGGTATTGGTGCAGGTTTTGCAGGAATCCAGCTCAGCAAATTAACAAAAAACAACGCAGGGGACAAACAAAATGAAAATGAGATTACACCTGATCATAACAATTGAGTAGTGATAATTATCCTTCTTTGAGAAGGCTCATCATCAGATTTTAGCTTCAAGGTCCGGTTTTATTGTTTTACGTAAACCATAGTGACTCGATTTGTTTTTGTTTGTTTACAAAGTTTACCATTATTTTGAGTTGTATATGTATATTGTTTGGTAACATTGTAGGGAGGGTGTTCAATGTAGTTTTTCAGTTGGATTCCGGTTCAATTATATTGGTTTTGGACGTAAACCAAATATTGTACTCGAGATACTTTAAGCCTAGTATCAGCATCAATTGCAACTACTCAAAATCCCAAAAACCAAAAACCAAAAACCAAAAACCATTCAAACATTCATTCTCTTGGTTTTGGTATTAAGTAAAGAAAACCAAAGCAATCTACAGATCGGTTTATGTTGCTTCGGTTATGGAAACAAAACCGGAGGTAAGATCACATTGGCCGGGTCAAAATCAAATCAAAGACAACACTAGTGGCGCTAGTGGCGACATCCATTTTCTTCTTCGAAAGCTGCCAATGGATCTTCTCAAGAATCCTCCCGCAACAGTGGGTTTATCAGAGACTTTCGCTAGGTTAAAGTCACAAGGCAAAGTAAGCAAACTCTCTTCATTCCCTAGTCTTTCAATTTTGTTCTCATTCGTTGTACTTACACATTCTGATCTGTGTTGAAATCAAAAATGGGTTTTTTTTAGGTGGCTCTGATTCCATATATCACAGCTGGTGATCCAGATCTTTCCACAACAGCAAAAGCTCTAAAATTTCTTGACTCTTGTGGCTCCGACATCATCGAACTTGGTGTTCCATACTCTGATCCATTAGCTGATGGCCCAGCAATCCAGGTTCGATCTATCAAAACCCGCACAATTTAGTTATCTTCTCAAGAATCTTAAAACCTTCTCTTTTCTCTGTTTTTAGGCTGCTGCGAGACGTTCTTTGCTTAAAGGAACCAACTTTAACTCCATTATCTCTATGCTTAAAGAGGTGTGTGTGTGTGTGTGGTTTTGTTTACTTTATAGATGATGATTTATGAGATTGCAACTCTCAATGTTGAGTAAATTGTGAACTTGATACTATTGGTTTTTAAAAATTGACTCTTTCCAAATTTCTCAGGTTATTCCTCAGCTATCTTGTCCAATTGCATTGTTTACGTATTACAACCCGATCCTGCGCCGAGGAATCGACAACTACATGACTATTATCAAAAATGCTGGAGTTCATGGTACTTTGACTTTTGCAAGTTTTCTCTTTTTAAGTATAACGCTTATGCTGTGTTTCAGAGCTTACTTTCCTCACCATTTGCTTCCTTTTATTCTTGGTTCCTGTCTTATCTACTTTAACAGTTTATTACATAACATGGTGTCTCTTCATAGGGCTTCTTGTTCCTGATGTTCCACTCGAAGAGACTGAGACTTTGCGGAACGAGGCTCAAAGGCATCAAATTGAACTTGTATGTGTTCTTCTTTCTTAAGATAGCATCGTTCGTAGCAAACTGTTTCCTTCCCTTTGTCAATCTTTACTATGTTGTCGTTAAGGTACTGCTCACAACACCCACAACCCCGAAAGAACGAATGAACGCCATTGTTGAAGCATCTGAAGGATTTATCTATCTCGTAAGAATCACAGTTTTGCGACTCTTTTAGATCAGTAAATGGTGCATGTACCTTTCTTCTTCTTATGCGTGAATGTTGTTATCCGAGCTCTTTTCAGGTAAGTTCAGTAGGAGTTACAGGCACGAGAGAGTCTGTTAATGAACAAGTTCAATCTCTTTTACAACAAATCAAAGTTGCCACAAGCAAGCCAGTCGCGGTTGGATTTGGCATATCAAAACCTGAGCATGTGAAACAGGTTTGGCTGCACATACACTGAATTAGCAAATATCTTGACAATGGGATGTGTTGTTAATTTAACTCAGTTTATTTAAACATTACAGGTAGCTGAATGGGGAGCAGACGGAGTCATTGTAGGTAGCGCGATGGTTAAGATACTTGGAGAGGCTGAATCACCTGAGCAAGGACTTAAGGAGCTTGAAGTCTTCACTAAATCTTTGAAGTCTGCTCTTGTCTCTTGAATACACAATTTGTTCTCTTAATTGAATACAAAAGAACCAGATGGTGTTACCATTTCTTCATAATAAATATAACATCCATCTCCAAATAAAAATCAAAGAGATACATTATTTATTGTAAAATGTTTGGGTTCCGAAGCTGAAAGACAAGATGTCAAAAACAAACAATTGATATAGGCTCAGCAAGCTTGCAAAACACATGTATTTAACGCTGTGACACGGATTCCGCAGAGAAGAGGTACTTGACACGGGAGAGAACTGAATCATGAGCAGGATCATAGGGATGGTCCTTGGAAGGGATCTCCAGAATTGCAGGAACTGGCTTGTTGTAGCTATCCACCAAGAACCGAATCATATTGGCAACCTACATAAATGGAATTTTCTCATCATGTTTTTGATACTAAAGAAAGAACCAGACTTTAACGAAGTTTACAGCACATAGAAATAGAGCTATTTCAAACTCATAAATGATAAGTCTCAAAGGGCTGATGCAAAGTGGTCTCATCTTATGTTTCTTCACACATTTGGATCCAATAATACTAATATTGCTGGGAACAAGATATCAAAAACTACCCCACAATAAACAGTAACTTTTGATCCGTGATTAAAAGAGTGCAAACAAGGAGGATATTCAATAATGGCAGTAAACATAAAGGGCTCAATCAGTACAAGCCATGACTTCTTTGATAACGACACAAATAACACCGCACAGACACAAGAGTTATTAATTGTTAATATAACTTTACGAGTATTCTGTGAAAGCACTTACATATTGGCTGATGAGGACGATAGCAATATCATCCCTCGTTGAGAACTCCTTGAAAGCATCCTCAATTTGTCTAACAGTTGTCTCTAAAAGACAAAAAAAATTAAGAAAGAAAGGGAAAAATCAATTAATTTTGAAGCCTAGACGGTAATTATACATTTCTACAGAAATAGAAGTTATGAAAGTTTTATCTCCTAACAAGACCGCATGAAACTGATTTGATGGAATATTTCAACTAACTTGATTTTATCAAAAGTGATACCAATTTGAGGTAAGTGACACAACTTGATACATGACTGAAAGATTATCTTCCCTAAAGATCATTATTATGAGTTCAAAAACATACTCGAATCCACGATGAGGTAATTTGTCTTCCTCCTTATGTCAACATTACCAACTCCAGCCATCAAAAATCCAACCACAGTGTCCTGTACACAACATTTTAGACGAGTAGATTGCTAAGGGCTAAACAAACGGATAGTTTTAAACAAATCTGGCACCAATTGACAAAAACAATTGATGTACAAAGGAATAATTTGCAAGTTCAGTCTAAAAAAAAGAGAGTAGACATAGTTTTCTGGTAACTTGATAGAATACCATTGCGTAAATCCAATTTTATGCCACAACCGTTGAAATTAACCCAAAAAAAAAAAGAATTTCTTTGCTATTCAAAGATAATACAGTTTCTAGGAAGAACTTAAGGAGACTTCTACTCCATAGTTTCCTGATTCGTGCATCAGGTGGAATCATCATTCAGTGATATTAGATCAGATCATCTGGAGAATTTTGGTCTGATCCAAAATCGAGAAAAGCACAGAACTACGAAAATGCTATCTAGGGCGTGAACCCGAGTACCAAAACGATTACACATTTCACAAACAAATCCAAGGTCAAGCAATTTACGGATGGAAAAATCTATACCCACTACGCATTGATTTAGTTCAGATCACATCTCAGAGATTTCAAACTCAACCAGAAGATCTAATGGAAAATCAACAGATTCCAAAGAAATCAAAACCACCGAAACTCAAATCAACAGAAAGATATAAAAAGATAAGTTTTTTTTTAGTAGCGATATTACCTCATCGGCGATCATTGCGATGAGGGCAGAGTTGCGAGCAGGGATCGAAGTTCTCCCAGCCATATTGATTCAACTACAGAAGAAAGAGAAGAACCCAGAAGAAAATTCAATCCAAGCGATGACAATTATCGAAATTGGGGAGAAACCCTAACCAATTCCTGATCTGAGATCGGGAAAAAAGCTTTAAAGATGGAAAAGAAGCTCTTAGATTTCAATCATTACCTCCTTTCTCTGTTTCTCCTCGTTCTTCGATTTGATTGATAGATAGATTCGTAATCAGACTCAAAGACCACGCTCACAAAAAAAAAAAAAACCTGAAGTCAGAACGCCATCCAAATTACTATAGTACCCCTACTCGGAACTTAATAACGGTACTACCCTCTAATAATAATTGCTCTTCAACAGTAAAAATGGCAAAAGTGTAATATATTACTAAAATAATGGTGGGGGTAACGATATGAGTGCAAGTCGCATCAAAGCCAGCTTGCCTTTTCAGGGGTAGTTTCGTCTTCTTCTTATCTCTTTCTTGTCTCTACTTGAGAAAAACCTCTGTAATATGTGAAGCAGAACAAAGCAAAAATATCCAGAGAGAGAGAGAGAGAAGAGTGAGCTGCAATGGCGGATTCTCACTCTCTCAACAATCAGCTCTCTAGAATTACTTCTATTTTCGGTTTACGTTTATGGGTTGTTCTCGGCGTTTGCGTTGGAGCCGCAATCGTTCTTTTACTGTTTGTTATCTCCCTCTGGTTCATTTACAGACGGAGCAACAACAACAAGTCCCTTGATTCTTCATCTAAATCGAACCATACAATCGTCCCCATGGTTTCTAAGGAGATCCAAGAGATTCGGGTCGACCCATCTCGACCTAATTTCAACCCAACTCAACCCGACCCAACTCCAGAGACTGTGGCTAACCACCGAGAAGACGATACCAAAATCCACATAGAAATCGGGAAAGATCATCGGATTTCGTACCCGGAGCGAGGAGGTTGGACCGGTTCTGGGTCCGGGTCCGGGTCGGGTGATCAGGGTTTATCGTCGGGCTCGGGTCCTGAGGTTTCTCATTTAGGCTGGGGACATTGGTACACGTTAAGAGAGCTCGAGCTTTCTACAAATGGATTCTCCGACGAGAATGTGATCGGACAAGGAGGATACGGGATTGTGTACAGAGGTGTACTTGAGGACAAATCAATGGTGGCTATAAAGAATCTGCTCAACAACAGAGGACAAGCTGAGAAAGAATTCAAAGTCGAAGTCGAAGCTATTGGACGAGTGAGACACAAGAATCTGGTGAGATTGCTTGGTTATTGTGTTGAAGGAGCTCATAGGATGTTAGTTTACGAATACGTTGATAATGGCAACTTAGAACAATGGCTTCACGGTGATGGATTGGGATCAAAGAGTCCTCTTACTTGGGAGATTAGAATGAACATTGTTCTTGGAACAGCTAAAGGGTTGATGTATTTACACGAAGGTCTCGAGCCTAAAGTTGTTCACCGCGACATCAAATCAAGTAATATCTTGCTTGACAAGCAATGGAACGCGAAAGTTTCCGACTTTGGGCTAGCTAAGCTCTTGGGTTCGGAGATGAGCTATGTGACTACTCGTGTGATGGGCACGTTTGGGTACGTGGCTCCTGAATACGCGAGTACAGGGATGTTGAATGAGAGGAGCGATGTTTATAGCTTCGGTGTTCTTGTTATGGAGATGATTTCAGGGAGGAGTCCTGTGGATTATAGCCGGCCTCAAGGAGAAGTGAATCTTGTGGAATGGTTGAAGAGAATGGTGTCGAATCGAGATGCGGAAGGAGTTTTGGATCCGAGGATGATGGAGAAACCGTCGTTGAGGTCATTGAAGCGTACCCTTTTGGTAGCTTTAAGATGTGTTGATCCCAATGCTCAAAAGAGACCAAAGATGGGTCATATCATTCACATGCTTGAAGCTGAGGACTTAGTCGCTAGAGATGATCGGAGAAACTCCAAAGGAGGAGGAGGAGGAAGAGGAGATCAGGGAATGTCACCACGGAAGACGAATGTGAATGAATCAGAGGATGAGAGTGTTAATTTCGCTCTGGTCAACAATGACCATTTAGCTCTGCAGAAGATGGAGAATCAGTAAAAGAGATAAGCTTTTGCATTATAATTTTTGTTAACTATATTTAGAAGTTTTTTCTTGTGTGTATGTGTGTAGATTCTAGTAATATTACAAAAGTTAAAATGTGGTTTGAAAAAGAAAACCTATATATTTTTTTTTTGTTTCACTAGGTGAGGTGAGGACTCTGTTGTAATATAGCCTAAATATTGATTTGTTTGTTATATTTGTGGTCTCCTTTTTGTATGAAGGACTTTTAATTTATGTTTATCAAAATAAACAGAGCGTGAATTCCATAAATTTGTTATGTTTAGAAGTTTTATTATTGTTGTGTGGATTATTGTACTTTTGATTAATGGTTTTTTTTTCTTTAGGTGGGAACTCTATTGTAAACTTGTAATAAAGCCAAAAATAGTGATTTGTTTGGTTTGGTGACATTTTTTCAAGGTCTTCTGGTTTATGTTTTCAAAAGGAAAAAAAAAAGAGAGACTAATTTCCATAGATCTAAGTGATTAATGTATGATTTGGTTATCTTTCTATCGAAAGATTTATGGACATCACACCAATAAATATTTTAAAAACTATTCAAACTTCTATTGCAGACGTCAAAAAAATATTGATAAATATTTTAAAAACTATTCAAACTTCTATTGCAGACGTAAAAAAAAACAAAAAAATTGTCTATTTAATATCTTACGTTAAAAAGAAAATGTATTTATGTATTTTCTACTACGTATTTGTATACAGAATATTCTTTTGTAAGTGGACCTAAATGCAAATAGGCAAGACCCGACAAAGGAATCAGAAAGTAGAAAACACACAAAAAAGTGAAGAACAAGAGAGCGAGAGGAGGAAGAGATGAACAGTATCTTCTCGATTGACGATTTTTCCGATCCCTTTTGGGAAGCACCTCCGCCTCTTAATTCGAACCCGGCGAAGGTTGTTACGGCGGAGGAAGTTAGCCAGAGTCAGTCCGAATGGACTTTCGAGATGTTTCTCGAAGAGATTTCATCGTCGGTGAGCTCGGAGCCAGTGGGAAACAACAACGCGATCGTCGGAGTTTCGTCGGCGCAATCTCTTCCTTCTGTTTCGGGACAGAATGATTTCGAGGAAGACAGTCGATTCCGCCGCGATCGTCACGATCGCGATTCGGGAAATCGGGATTACGCTCCGCCACCATCGACGGTGATTGTTCATTCCGATGATTACCATCGCGTTCTTAAGAACAAGCTTGAAACTGAGTGCGCTACTGTTGTAGCTCTTAGGGTTCGATTTCCTTCTCTTTTTATAGTTATCTATGTGTGCAATTTTGTGCGTTTCTATTGCCGTAAGAAGATCTGAATCTCAAGCTCTGTTTGTTTTCTCTGTTGCGCAGACTGGGTCTGTTAAGCCTGAAGATTCGTCTACTTCTCCTGAAACTCAATTTCAACCAGCTCAATCCAGTCCTCTTGCTCAAGGTAAAGAGCTTTATTTTGTAACTTCCTTGTTATCATCTTATTATAGTTTGTCACTTACTTTCACTGTGGATGAGCCAAGATAATCCTACAGATTCGTATCTTTATTCTATTTTCTTCTATGAACGTTGTAAATTTGATACCAAGTTAAGGAATTGTACTGTGGAAATGGAAAATGGTTCTTTAGAGAAGCCAGTGAACCAATTCAAGACTCATTGAACAACTTTTGTAATCATTGGGATTGAGACCAATAAGATTGGGATTGAGATGGATTCTGGTGGTTAGCTCAATATTTCTTTTACAGGGGCGGCTTAATGTGGCAAATCATTGTATTGAATCTACGATTTCTCTTTCAGATGCCTCTTTTGAGTCTTACGCATGGCCTTATTAATCATGGTAGGTTCTTTGATGACACCTGGGGAACTTGGTGTCTCTTCTTCATCACCGGCTGAGCTGAAAAAAACTGGTGTACTAGCAAAGCAGGTTACGAGTGGATCATCGAGAGAATATTCTGATGATGATGACCTTGATGAAGAGAATGAAACCACTGGTTCCTTGAAGCCAGAGGACGTAAAAAAATCTAGAAGGTAAAGATTCCTTTTTTCTCCAATTACTTGTCTTTTGATGTTTATCTTCACAGTGAAACAGTTTTGGAACCTTGTTCGTTGTAGGATGCTGTCAAATCGAGAGTCAGCTAGGCGATCTAGAAGGAGAAAGCAGGAGCAAACAAGTGATCTCGAAACACAGGTTTCATACCTATACCCTCTCAACCACTTTATTTTTTGTGTCGAAGAATACTAATGAGATCTAATTTCTAATTTGATAGGTTAATGAGCTAAAGGGTGAACATTCATCACTTCTGAGGCAACTTAGCAACATGAACCACAAGTATGATGACGCTGCTGTTGGCAATAGAATACTAAAAGCTGACATTGAGACATTAAGAGCAAAGGTAAGAACACTTTCAATACATTTCCTAACTATCCTTTTTACGAGCTACATTATTGTTATTTCCATGTTATGTAAAGGTGAAAATGGCGGAAGAAACCGTTAAGAGAGTAACGGGAATGAATCCGATGCTTCTCGGGAGATCAAACGGACATAGCAATAACAACAGAATGCCATTAACTGGTAACAATAGGATGGATTCTTCTTGCATTCCAGCTTTTCAACCACAATCAAACCTAAACCATTTGCCAAATCCCAACATTGGAATTCCAGCGATTCTACCTCCAAGGCTAGGAAACAATTTCGTTGCTCCTCCTTCCTTAAACTCCCAAACTAACTCTCAGTTGCAGAGAATAAGAAATTCACAAAATCACCATGTTGCTCCAACAAGCACAAACCCGTATGGCTGGAATACTGAACCTCAGAACGATTCTGCATGGTAAGCTAAAATGGCTCTTTTCAAACAATTAAAAAGCTTTTAAGTTCTATGATCCATGTTTTATGCATATAGGATTTTTATTCCCCTTTTTATGCTCATTTTACAGGCCGAAAAAATGCGTGGACTGAAACAAGAAGCGGGTTTCGCGTTTGTATTGATCTCTCATTGTATGTTTTATAAGTTATGAAAAACACAGTCTCATGGCTTATACAGTCTGTCTCGTAAGTTGTAAAAAATACAAGATTCTTAATAAGAGAATCGTCTTTCTATTTAAAGCTTAATAACAGAGTGGGATATCTGCTTTTATCCAATTAAAAAAAGAAAGGTCAAATGATATCCCACGTGACTTTTCTAATTATTCCTCTCATTAAATTCCGACAACCTCGGCGACTTCCGTGGTAGATCGATCAAGCAACCACATTTTCTGTTTCAGAAAAAAAGAAAAAAGAAACAGAGGAGAAAAGGAGACGACGACGACGACGACAAAAAGTAAACAGAAGCCGTCGTTTTTCCCTTTTTTCCTCTCTCTCTTTTAAAATTTTTTCTCTCTCTCACGGTGTACGTTAGTCAAAATGGGTACGAGTAAGCTAAAACGTGCCATAGGAGCCGTGAAAGATCAGACAAGCGTAGGATTAGCCAAAGTCGGAGGTCGAAGCAGTTCTCTAACGGAACTCGAAGTAGCCATCGTGAAAGCAACGCGACACGACGAATATCCAGCAGAGGAGAAATACGTCAGAGAGATATTAAGCCTAACTTCTTACTCACGCAACTACGTAAACGCTTGTGTCTCTACTCTCTCGAGGCGTCTCAACAAGACCAAGAACTGGTCGGTTGCTCTCAAAACCTTGATTTTGATCCAACGGTTGTTAACAGAAGGCGATCGAGCCTACGAGAAAGAGATCTTCTTCGCGACCAGACGAGGAACAAGACTGCTTAACATGTCTGATTTCAGAGATGCGAGTCGATCGGATTCGTGGGATTACTCTGCTTTTGTTCGGACTTATGCTTTGTATTTGGACGAACGGCTTGATTTCCGGATGCAAGGAAGAAGAGGGAAACACGGTGATGATTCCGGTGAGGAAGATGATCATCGAGAGACCAAAACCGATATTCGGTCGAGAGCTCTTGTGGTCAAGTCTAAACCGGTCACAGAGATGAAAACAGAGAAAATCTTTACCAGAGTACAACGTTTACAACAGCTTCTCGATCGGTTCTTGGCTTGTCGTCCAACAGGTAATCAAAAATGTTGTGGTGAGCTTAACAAAGTTTTGTTAAAAGATTTAGAAAAGTTCAATTTTTCGCCAACTTTGAACTTTCTTGGCTTAGACGTTAGGTTTTTGCCACAGGTAATGCAAAGAACAACAGGGTGGTGACTGTGGCTCTTTATCCGATAGTGAAAGAGAGTTTTCAGATATATTACAACATAACAGAGATAATGGGAGTATTGATAGATCGATTCATGGAATTAGACATTCATGATTCGATCAAAGTCTACGACATCTTCAGCCGAGTTTCTAAACAGTTCGATGAGTTAGATCCGTTTTACGGATGGTGTAAGAACATGGGAGTTGCAAGATCTTCAGAGTATCCAGAATTGGAGAAGATTACACAGAAGAAACTTGATCTCATGGATGAGTTTATAAAAGATAAATCAGCTTTAGCCGCACAAACGCAAAAGTCATCATCAAAAAAGTCTAACAAATCTGAGGAAGATGAGAAAAAAACAGAGGAAGTTCAAGAAATTCAAGAAGACTTAAACGCCATTAAAGCATTACCAGCTCCGAATCACGAAGAGGGAAAAGAAGAAACGGAAACAAAGAAAGATTCTGAAGAAGTGGTTTCAAGAAAAGATCAAGAAGGTGATTTGCTGGATTTAACGGGTGAAGCGGATGAAACGGCAGGAACGGTTGGTGATAGTTTGGCGTTAGCGTTATTCGACGGAGCGGTTGCGACTGAGACTGCGTCTGGACCGGGATGGGAAGCGTTTAATGATGATTCAGCGGATTGGGAGACAGCGTTGGTGAAATCGGCGACGAGATTGTCGGGACAAAAGAGTGAGCTTGGAGGAGGGTTTGATAGTTTGTTGCTTGATGGAATGTATCAATACGGTGCGGTTAATGCGGCGGTTAAAGCGTCTACGGCTTATGGAAGTAGTGGAAGTGCGAGTAGCGTTGCGTTTGGTTCTGCAGGAAGACCAGCAGGTAAATAAAACATTTAGATAAAAAAAAAAACATTTTTCATAAAATATTCAATTTTTCGGTAAATTAATTGTGATCGAGTCTAAATATGAATTTGTTTACTGTGGTTTGGTTTGGTTCTAATTCGGTTTTCCATCAAAATCTATTACATTAAAACAAAACAGAAGCACATTTAGTACTTACTTCCAAACACTCCTAATTTTTTTAGAATTCCTTAAATATAGGTAATTTAGATTTGATTTGATTTGATTAAAAATAATAAATCAGATATTAATTTAGATTTGATTTAAAGATTCTAATTTAAATAATTTCTATACTATTAAACATTTTTATCAAAAATGTGTAGAATTTTTGAAAAAAAAATAATTCACATATAAAAAATAATGGTCATATTTGAAATATAAAATATTTATAATGATGTAAATGATATGATATTTATGTTTCTTATATAATATATTTACAATTATGATTTATTTACAAATTAATAATAAAATAATAGGTAAAATTCAAATGTATAATTTAAATATTAAAAATATATTTTTTATAATTCATAGAACTAAAAATATATATAAAAATCTGGTTAAAAATATTTTGGTAACTAAAATCATTAATTTTAAATTATACATGTATATCGAAAATATATTTTTCATACAAAATAAAAACATAAAAAATTAAAAATTATTGCATACACTAAAATGTGGTTTGAAAAATCAGTTGTACACTTCCTTTGTTGATTAAATTTTTAAAAAATTATAATGCTAAATAATACTGTTAATACATCTCAAATTTTATATTATACGGTAATATAAACGGAAAAGTTAGAATTATGTTTTTATAATAGTTCATTTTGAATTAATATTAGCAGACGGGTTAAAATTATATTTTTATAATCATAATTAATTTTAATACTATAGAAATATATCTAAACACAAAAGTCAATATTTTCACTTATTAAAAATATATTTATAAAAATAATTATATCTAAACTCAAAAACACAAATTATATTATAAAATTCGTTAAACAATAAAAAATATTCATGTGCGGATGCACGGGGTTAGAATCTAGTATATCCTTAAATTAAAGATTTTTCAAACTAGAAACAATTGAAAAAACATGAATTTTTTTTGTTGGTTTGGTTTGGTTTTAGGTTTAAGATTTAAACAAAAACTAAAAGTATTGATGCAGGATTTATCTTTGATTTCACACTTCTAGTAGATTTTCGGTTCATTTTGGTTTATCTTGATTATAATCTGATTTTGAGTTTGATATTAAGTATACAATATGGTGATGTAGCCTCAATGTTGGCACTGCCGGCGCCGCCACAAATGGCGAACGGAAACAGAAATGGAAGCAAAACTCCGGTGACGGTGGACCCGTTCGCGGCGTCACTGGAGGTGGCTCCACCACCGTATGTGCAAATGAATGATATGGAGAAAAAACAGAGGTTATTTATAGAAGAACAAATAATGTGGGATCAATACAACAGAAATGGAAGACAAGGACACATGAATTTCAGACTAAACCAACAACATCATTTTCAAGTTCAATACTCCATGGGACCTTATTCCTACACACCTCACTACTGAAACTTAAAAACAAAAAAAATATCGCCATTGAAGATGAGGAGCTATCTCTTGTCTGAAAAAAAGTGTAACTCTTAAATGATTATTTTTCTTTGTAACAATTTATTAGAAAAAGGGAAAATGACCTTAACTTAAGATTTACGTCAAAAGAAGCAAGACGAATGACTCATATGTTTATGATACCAAAGAAAGTAGATGGGAAGTTGTAGGTGAATCATTCATTTTTAAGCGTCATAGAGAATGTATGGAGCGTAAAGCTTTTTTTGTTGTTGTTGTTGTGGTATGATGTTGTTCTTCTTGGACAAGATCATTTCCATTTTGAGTTGATTTCCCTAGTGTATAATCTTATACCTAAGGTTTTTATAACAAAAGGTGAGCTGTTTTCTTAATTAAAACTTGTAAGTAAATGACTAAAACATATTCTTGAACCTAAAAGAAATATGATTACGAAACAGAGATGTATAAGGAGTATTGTGGCACCTCTTTTTTGTTCTCTCGCTTATTCAAACATCCAAATAATATGTATCTCTCTTCTAGCTATTGGGTAAACCATATGTAGTATTCACAACACCTTGATGAGTTTATGGTGAAGAATCAAACCATTCAGTTTATAATAAACTTTCCAAAAGTTTGGAATATACTATGCATCTTCATCATTTCTCTTTTCATTAGAACATATGCCTCTTACATATCCGAATCAGAATCTAAGTTGACCCTTACTCTACCTATTAAAAGTTTAGGTTATGTTTTTATATATCTGAATTGTCCTTATCTGATAAAATAATCGAGTTATCTAGCCTTTTCTTACGATAAAGTTCATAAAGTACTTTAAAACTAACATATATCTGATCATTAGATGATATTATCCGACTCCATATTTGAAATGATAGTCAATAATTTTTGTTTGGTGAAGAATATCGTGGTCGCGGACAAAGAGAAATTCTTCGAAAAAGGTAAGTTTTGAGTACTGCAAATGGTTTGCAATATGTCACGATATAACAGATTAACAGCCAAGCCAAAGAAAAGTCTACAGATATATCATTTATGTCTGAATGTTAAGCCCGAAGCAAAGGAAAATATGAATTGTATGCATATGTTATATCATTATGTGTATAATTCTTTTTATATAGTTATTTCATATTAAAAACTTTCAATCACAATCAAAAAGAAAGCAAAGGAAAAGAAGTTGTATAGAATGGGGACTGAGAGCTCGTATAAACATAAAAGGAAAGTATATTGATCCCGTTAACAATGTTCTTTAATTTATCTTTTGACTTTTAGTGGTCGCCTGTTCTCTTTATTTTTTTGGTTTAAAGTGTTCGCATGTTCATGCGTGTCCTCTTCAACAAGCTCTTTGACCTTCGTTTTTTCATCTTTTCTTAAATCTTTTCTACTTTATATTATTCCTCGTAGTTTTCTATATCTTTTTTAATTGATTCCTTACCACCCTCCTTCTTTAGGTGTTTCTATATTCCTTTTGATTTGATTTTCCTTTTTTTTTTTACTAATTATTTTAGTTTACATGTTAATATATTATTACTTTTGAAAGAAAAACCTTCAAGCTATGCTACTACCAATTCTAATTTCTAAACTACCTGCTTTTCATAGAATTAATTCTAAAACATTAACATTTAAGACAAAATAAAAAAGTTGTAATATAACCAAAAAAATATTGAAGCCTGAAGGAGATTTAAGAAAAAAAAAATCAACGCTCGTTGAAGCGGGAAAAGGTATTAGCCTTTTTCTCATAATTTTGTTGATAAAATCTTCTTTAGAGAATTTGTGGTTATATGTCTTAATAAAAAAAATTTGGGTAAAAAAATATGTCTTTATAAGTTATAACTTATAACATACAAAATAGAGATTAAGCGAAAGAAATTTTTTTTTAATGATTTTGTCACTAAGGGGTGAAAATTAGCGACTATTCATCACAATACGTTTGCGATGAAAATTATACTTGGCTCTTGTTCGTTGCTAATTGCCATCACATAAATGACCATCAAGAAATTAGACCATTGTCTCTGATTAATTAGTGATTACGATAGAATCTGTTAACAGCAATCAGAAAAAATGATAAATGAGTTTTGTGGCCTATAGCCAAATTTTGAGTTAACGATGAATTTAGACACATAGCAATAAATTTTGAGTTATCTTCAATAATTGCATATAGTATGATGTGTACATGCACGTAGATATGATGTTTATTTTTTTTTCTTTTAATACGTAGATATGAAGTTGTATCTACTATCTATCACAATCAAAGAAGCTTGCTTTGAGAGGACACGTTCGTCAATCCCTAGAGGTGCAGTGTTGTGGGGCCTTTACTGATTCAATTATTTTTGATGTGGAAAGAAGTGTTATATAAACACCACTTTTTTTAACGGATGTAATTTTAAAAAGGGAAATTCTAAATGTTTTTTTACTTGTAATGTAAGAATATATTTGACAAGAAAATCCAACGTAAACTAGAGATTTTTTAAGGCTGTAACAATTAGAAAATTTAGAAAACAATCCCTAGAAAAGTAACCAAAAAAAAGGAATTGCTCTTCTGCTCTTTGTTTGTTCCCGAGGGTGTTTGAGTCATTAAGCAACAAAATAATGGAAGTAAATTCCAGTTTTACCCATTTACATAGTGTGGGGTCCAGAGAATCCCAGATCGTAAGCCTTGTGAAACGACGACGACTCGTGATTATGTGATTCGGTATCGTACGCTGACATAGGAAACGCCACACCATCTGTGTACTCTAGCATATCACCGGGTCTCACGCTAACGTGCACTCCATGACCCGTGAGTCCAAGAAAGTCCCTGGTCAAATGATCAGCTTTCTGCCACGTGGACGTTAACCCATCAACAACAAGCTGATCGTACTCAGACGAAGAAGATGACATCATCATGACTCGGTCAACACCAAGAAGCTCGTTGGCCGTCGTCGCCAACTGTCGGTGATGACCAATTGATCGCGTTTGTCCTCCTCCGCCGCCAAAAGCGCCGGAGCTAAGAGCGGTCGCTTTTTGGAGGAGAGCCGTCGCTGAAAGAGCTGCCGTCGAAGATGAAGAAACGGCGGCGGCGGCGGCGGAACGTGATGGGTCAGCGTAAAACGGTGACGTGAAGAGCAAGGAAGAGGGAGATTTATTGAGCATAAAGTTACGATCTTGGAAATTAGGGTCAGGGTTTGTGAGGTTGGAGGAAGAAGATGAGATGATTCTTGCATTTTCTTCTGCTAATGCATCGCAGAACGCTCTATGCGTTATGAAACTGTCTTTCCTGTTTATAAAATTTGCCAAGAAACAAACAAAAAAAAACTTAGATATGTTTTGATTATTGCAATTGCATGAAGTGAAATAATTTAAAGTGGACCACATAGAGTGGAAGAAGTATCAAAATTCCAAGAAAAGCTTTTGAAGCCTATGATGTAATAATGGACCAATGCAATTTAGACATTAGCAAATCAAATCATAGACTGCAAAAATAAAGTTTTAAATCAGGATTCTTTTTCAGCATAATGATGAAGAAGAAGATTCACCTGCAGGCTTCTTTTATCTCCTTCAATAATGCAACATAAATTTTTACAAGCAACAAGAACATTAAATAAAAAGATTCATTTTTTTAATTGACAATAACTACACGTATAGACACACATATTAGCTCTAAAAACTTTTGATTTATATATCAATCTTAGTACACAAAATTTGGTTCTTCACAAAAGAAAAATGCATATATTCATAGTATATAGACATTGATGGCCTGTATGTATATATAATGTCTTAATCCATGAATTTTGCCACAGCATTTAATTTGAACTCAAACTATTTTCCATGGACAGACACTAGCAGTTTTGTCAAATGAAAGGACATAGCCAAAAATAGAGACAATTGAAATAAGTCACCCCAAAGCATTTAACTCATCCATATATGTGCAATTACAATTTATTCCAAGAAAAATCATAGATTCACATATAACATATGGACTCCTATCTCTATATGTAATGTCTATAGATAATGATCTAGATTTGTCACAGAAACATCAGTAAAAATATTAAGAAAACAAGGAACAAAGAAAGATCTTCATAAAAAAAAGTAAATAAAAAAAGAAAGCTTACCTCGAGAAAAGAGTTCCACAGTCACATCTATACTCTCTTGTACCACAGACCTTAGTGTGAGCTTTCCAGTCAGATTGAACAGCGTAGAACTTTGAACACTTCTCACATTTCCATTTCTTCTCTCCATGTTTCCTGCAAAAGTGTTTCTTGATCCCTGTGAGATCACCAAGCGCCCTAGATGGGTGATGATGAACACAATTTGTCTCTGGGCACACATAGACTTTCTTCTTTTGATGTTCTTTGCTGTTCTTCTGCTTAAGCTTCCATGGAAGATTGTGGCCTCTCCTGTGAAGCTGTAGGTTCTGATCTCTTTGAAACCCTTTGTTGCATATCTCACATACGAATCTGTTTGTTGCAAGAAGTGTCTTTGGTGATAATGCAATTACCTCTGCTTCTGGATCTGCCACAGAAACCAGAAAAAAGAAGTATCAAAACACATTCTTGGTAAAAACTAAAAAGATGATTTTGAGACAAACCCTAATTGTACAAAAGGAAGACTTTTACAGAACTCATATGACAAAACTAAAGCTCCCGGATTCTGCTAGTAATAAAATAACCAATATGAATAAAGTCATCAGATTCTACTAGTTAGTATTGAAAAACCCATATGAAAAAGGTCTCAGATAAAAGAAATACAGATGGAAAAAAGGTTCCAAGATTCTACCAGGAATCAAAAATCAGATGAAAATGTTTTCTAGATTCAGCTGGTAATCAAAAACCCAAATGAAATAATTAAAGCCATATAGATAATAGAAATAAAGTGGAAAAGATCATATTTTACCAGGATTGCCAGGAATGCCTCTTCTTTTCTTAGTCTTTTGAGTCTCTGCGTGTGTACAAAGACGACTAGAAATTACATTGTTCAAGCCATTAAAATCTTGGATGGTATTACCAGAAGAAGCACTTGCTTCAGCAGACAAAGAACTTAGTTTATAGGACCAGTTACGAGATGAAAACATATCCATGGCTATATGGTTATAGCTATATGAAGAAGAAAACTCCAACTAGAGAAAAAACAAAAGGTGAAAAGAAACTATAAAAAGATCCAAACTTTGGTTTATTCTGATCTCTTAAAATAAGGACCTTTGATCAAGTACCTAGAGAGTAAGAAGTTTACACAGAAAGACATCATCTTTGGCTATATATGCAAGAAAACAAACAAAGTAAACAACCATAATTTCAATTTTTTTTTTAATTTTTAGTTTCTTGGGTGTATATACACATTTGTATGTACAGTTTTCAAAAAGCAAGAGGGCGACCATGATGGATTATTCTCCAAGGTCACTGTCAATTTTTGTACATATACATATATGTGCGTGCTTACAATAAATGCAAATACTGTTTGAATCCCATTTTTGTATTATTTTTTCTAGGTGCAGATAAATACCACAGAGGAGAGAGTGTGTGTTTGAAAGTGAGACTTTGACTTAATTTCAAATATTTGTTTTTAACTGTTTTTCTTTAGTACTCTTTTTTATTTATTTTTATGTTGTTTTGGAGACTCTTCTGCATTACAGAGAAGAGTGATGATTACAGGACCAGACTATCAGCATTTACTTAAAATTGTCTACTAAAAGAAGAGTAGACCCCAGAAAGAAAGAAAAAGCAAGCTATCAATTTGTTCAATTAATGGAAAATATTGTGAGATAAGACTTCGCAGGCCTATTTGCCTTAAATAGTAGTAATAATTACGTATATATATCAAGAAAACGAAATCTTTTCATTCATTGGGTATGTATAAAGGAAACATTTTTGTTTTGTTTTATTTTGTAAGAGAATCTAATACACAACTACTTAGCCAAAAAAACATTGTTCTTATAATAGCAGAAGTATATTTAGTAATAGAACCATTGAGGTATACACTAAATATTACTTCAAAGCCAGTGGAGTGGTTCGTAGTTCTTTAAAACATGTTAATTGCAATGGTTAGTGAGAGCGAAACTCGAATATGTTGATGTTTTGCTCCTGCATATGACTAGTTGAACTACCATCGCTAGACGCTAGCTAACAAAATCTATTTTTTCTCATTATTCCAAGATTATTTTTAGTTTTGATAAAGAAGAATATGTTTTTTTAAAAATTTCGAGTCATTACCAAGAATAAAAGTATACTTGTTTTATGAATTTGAGTGATGTTACTTTCTACTAATAATGTTGCTGGAACTTTTATCTCCTTTTCCCTCATAGTTTCTCTCATAAGATACCCAAATTTCTGTAAAGGCACACTGATTTGAATGAAATCATAAGCTATGAAATAAATTAAGATTAAAACAAGTAGGATATATAAACTCATAGAAAAAGGGAGAGAGTGAGTTTTATATACTTCATTTAATTGTTTAAAACTTGAGAACAAATAAGAGGTTTTTTCTTTTCCAGAATTGCTATGAGTCAATTAGAGATACACAATCTAACTTTGCAATTTCTCAAAAGAACCCAAAGAAAAAAAAATCAAACCATGCATAATACGGTAAATAAAAAGAAGATAAAAGTTTGTTCTCAAGTTTTACAGAAATTTGTTTTATAATTATCTAACCTTGGCTTATAATTATCTTTGTTGTTAAGGTATTCATCTTACTCGGAAACAAGATTTAGTTCTTAGTTATTCGTTTAACATCTATTTCGCTTTCTGATACAAATCTTGTACTGTTCTTGTACAAAAGAGTATGAATTAGGACAAGTTCATGATTTCTGAGACCAGAGCACACAGATCATTATTTTTCCATTAAAGCAAGAAAGGAATATTGGAGTGTGACAAAATCTACAATACCTTTACGTTTACTCATAAATGAATTTCTGCATGTATTTCATACTTTGAAACAAGAATGAGCTAATGTTTACCCATTTCATATTTTATCTACAAACATATTTTACGTTTATCTTCAAGTCATTTCTCCTTTTACCTTTGACAGAAGTTTGCAGCTATCACAAATTTTAAATTCTTTGTTTGGTGCATAAGAACAATCCTCACATTGCATGAAATGCACCCATCATCAAAAGATCTCAAGTATCATATTTAATTTAATACTGTAAATTAATGAAAAAATAGAAAAAGAAAAGGAAATCGCCGACTACTTACCGTTGAAATCCTCTAAGAGAAAAATGCCGGTGGAACGGTCATCATCGCGCCAGCGTCAGACATCTCTTGCCGCAGGTCGAGGTTAACCTTCTTCTAATCATTCTTAAGGAATAGTAAAGAATAGGCTGGTGTAGCTCTGAGCAATATATACATATTTCTTTTTTATTATTAAATCTTAAAATTAATAATTTTACTACACCATGTAGATTATATTAAATGTTTTCAACTCTAGATATATTCGTAAATAAGTTTAGTTTGTAAGAGATATTTCTCTCTCGTAAAATATAAAATGACTTAAGTATAATCTATTATCATATTAATTTTGCAAACAAAATAATCGATTTTATTGAAAATTATATTGTACTTAAAATTTTACTAAATTTGAGTTTCAACATTTTTCGTTCAAATGGCGAATTAAAGAACTGTTATTTATCCATAAAAGAAAAGCAACAACTTTCTTTTCTATTTCTCAACTTAGTTCAAATTCGGAACACAAGAATATAACATCTTCCATTCATCCAAGCCGAACTTGAGTTTGAATCAGTAACAAATATATAATTGTAGCGAAAGAAAAATACACATAAACACACACAAAAGATATACAAAGCAACCAATGCCCTAAAAGCATTTTGGCTTTGAATATCAAAATGGAATATTTTATTTTGTTGAATTTTCATTTCGTCTTCCTATCATTTACTCTTGTGGATGACTTTGTGTATCTTCCCTTTTTCATTTACCTTTTTAGGTTTTTGATTCTCATTTCTCATAGATCCCTTTGAAAAGTTAACAAAAAAAAGAATATAGTTACCCCACCAACAAGAATTTTCACACACTTTCATCCGTTCTTTAATTAACCTTTTTTTTTCTTTTATCTCTTGTGAGTTTTCTATAAATAATATTCCAAACCAAACACAAAGAACATCAAGTTTGTTAACTCTACTTTACCCGTAGATGTGTGTCTTCTTCGTCCATAAGATTAACAGGAACAGACGTGTGTGCCTTTGTTTCGCTTTTGTTAAGGTTCGATAAGAATATCTCGAGTCCCAAAACATGTGACCATTATGAGACAACGAGGGTAACTGATAAACTCATGTAACGTCGAAATTCTTCTTTTCAATATTCAGAAAGCATGAGTTAATACACATTTTATATACTTTTTTCGTTTTCATGTTTTTTTAAGGCCAGAGAGATGTCATGTTTAGGCAATATAAAATCGATTATAGGAAAACAACAACAAAAGAGTAAAACAGAGTGACGAGAGAATATAAGTTACGTCTATGAAGTTTTACAAATTTTCACACTTTACTATCATCTCCATGCTTTTGTTGAGAGAGTGTGTGGTAGCGTTCAAGGTTCATGGCTATTAACACGGCTATGGAGTTCGAGCATCTCTTGATGATTAGGGTCGACCGAGAGTGCCGCACGACAGTCTCGCAACGCACTACTAACATCCCCAATGTGCTCGTGGAAAGCAGCTCTTAAGTGAAGAAGATGAAGATCCGCTTTGAAAGCGATAGCTCGAGATAACTCCGAAATAGCTTCTCTCTCCTTCCTACTATCCATCAACACTATCAAAACCCACCAAAGAAACCAAGAAACAATATTCAGATTCCTTCGGAAGAAGAAGAAGAAGAAGAAGAAGAAGAAGAAAAAAAAACAGAGCATGTTAGAAGAAGAAGAAAACAGAGCATATTAGAGTTTAGTTATATGAAACCTGCGGCACGGTATCGGTAAGGATAAACTCGGAGAGGGTCTAATCGGGTGACCATTTCGAGATCAGATTTGGCGAGTTCACGGTCACAATACTCGGATCTTTTCTCGTAAGCGGAAGCGTTGTTCTGAGCCTTTTCGATCAGTCTGGTCATTTCTTCATAAGCTGCAGCTTTGTCGTTTCTCAGGAAATGGACACGAGCTAAGCCTTGGTGCGCTCGTGTGTGCCTCACTTTCAGAGCGTTTATATAACAATCCGCAGCTAAGTCTAGCTTCTCGCAATCAACGTACACGCTCCCTAGATTGTTTAGAGCCTAGAAAACAAAAACCAAACAAAAAAACAACAATTTTCACAGAATTAACTATAGATGTAACCTAAATGGTTTAAAACAGAGCTGATGGTGAACAGAGCGTACCTGGCCTTTCCTCAACCTATCAGAGGGGCATTTAAGAGCATCTTCAAGAAGCGAGACAACGGTCGAAGAACTTGATGGATCGAGGCTAGATTCTGCCAAGGCATAAGCTTGGAGGAAATAAGCTTCGAATGATCTCTTTATTCTAATGGATTCCTTAGCCTTTTGAAGCCCTTCTTCACAGTGGCCAGTGTCATACAAAATCCATCCTTCATAAACTAGACGCTCGTGGTCACTTGACGCGTGCTCTCGTGCTAACTGTAAACTACGCATCGCTGCCTCGGGACAATTCAACCTAATCAAAACCAAAGTTAAAGAAAATGAGATGCTCTAGCTTAGAGATGTTCGTGTTCAACTGAGAAAGTTGAATTTTTGAAGATTTTATTTACCTTAAGAGAAGCAAAGATTGCCTAAAGTAAAGAACACCTTTAAAAGCATCAGCTTCGAGCATCTGATAGATCACAGAAAGAGAACCAATATCATCAACATTCGACCATTTCTCATAAAGTTGCATCCAACAATCTGCGGTTGTCCAGTTCTCGACATGCTCATACACAAGCGTCCTTAGCTGTCTCGCAGCTACTTTCCCATCGAACATTCGATAATCAGGGCACAAAGTAAGAGCAGCCTGGATATCACGAAGAGCCGCTTCGTAGTCATCCATACCGAGATAAAGACAGAACCGAATCTCCAAGCATTCTAACGCGAGTTTAAACCCCAAGATCCTGTTGATTTCCTCGAGCGCAGCCTCGGCATTCTGTTTCGACATTAGAGTGACAGCTCTGTACATGTAAGGATATGTCAAAGTCGGGTCCAATTCGGTTGCTTTGCCAAGATCCTCCATTTTCTTATCACCCTCACAATATAAAGACCTTTCTTGATACATCCATCCAAGAGGCGGCGAAACAGAGGAGATAACAGAGCTTAGCTTCTCGTAAGCCCAAAGCCGATGGCCTTGTATGTAACCTATTCTTGCTAAACCAGTAGCTGAATACACATGGCCTAGATTAAAAGCGGTTTCAAAAGCTTCTTCCGCCTCACGGTACTCTTTCCTTAGCAGCCTCGTACAACCTAACCGATGAAACCCCAATACTCTCTGCCGATCATTTTCCGCAAAGTCGACTACTTTCTCCAAGAAACCTAATGTTCTGTCTGAACGGGGATCTATACGCATTGAGACTTCGCTTAAACAAGAGTATAAGGAGAATGAAGCTTTTCCTGCCATGGTTGAGACTTGAGATCTATTGACCCGAATCAAAACCTCGACAACACGGTCATCGGTCAAACTTTCAGGCATCTCATAAAGAAAAACTTGCAAACATGATGCAGCTAGGATAGGAGAGCTCTCTTCCAGTGCAAAGTCCATAAGCTCAATGGCACAATCCATGGAAGAAATCAGAGAAGCCAATTCTCTATCGCAAGCATCTTTAAGCCTCTCGCAGCAAAACTTGTTTGCGAAAACTAAAACTTCCAATAGAAGATTCTTGGAAACTCCGCTTAGAATACCCGCAGCACTGAAATCTCTGACAACACGCATAGCTGACGACGATACATGGTTTTCTGACATGTCTATCTCATCGAGAAGCGATTCCGTGAAACTCCCAAAAAGCATGGCGTGAAACGGAGCAGAAAGACTCGAGATTTTCTTCCTATCACAAGCTATTCTCTCTTCTCCTATCTTGAACACAACGTTTTTCGATATACAGCGCTCCACCTTCACAGATGCTGCTGCCTCAGGGGAGGAAGAAGCAGCCATAACTGGGAAACAAGATGCAATATCCAGCGGAGCGTATTCTTCAGAATATTTACCACAAGAGGAAAGCAAATCGGCGATAACTTCTTCCCCTTGTTTCTCATACCTTAACCAAGACCCAAAGATAACTTTTTCATGGACAGTTGTAGCCTCTTGCCAAGCTGATTGAAGGCTTCTCCGTCTAAGTTTTGTCTCTCCAAGACCTCTAAACACTTGATACTGCAATAAATACAGAATCGATCTCTCCTGTAAAGGGCAGGTCTCGAGTTCTTCATGAATCTGAGCAAGAACTTCTACATAGTCAAGAGGTTTATAATGCGGCAGTATCTGCGGCTCGGGAACTTTGATAAATGATTCTCTGCACAGTGGACTAGAAAAGACCAAAGGTTAACTCCATAGCAAGAACGTCTCAAGTTTAATAACCAATTCGAATAAGCAGGGGGAAAAGAAGAGAAACTTACGCAGATGAAGAAGCAGAGGAAGAGAGCTTCCCTCTCTCAACTTGAAGCCATGACTGTGGATTCAACGAATTGAGCTGTGATTCTTTACAAGAATCAGATGGGTAGAAAGTCCTCATCTGACATAAGAGGTGAAACAAATCCCAGATCTCCAGGATCGCCAGAGGATAGTCAACACACTATTTACTTCTCGGATTCACAGTACACAGCCCAGAAGAAACTAAGTGGAGATGAGTTACTTGATGGATTTCTATACAAAAAATTTGAACTTTGTATTACGAAATCTTCCAACACCTAAAGCTAAAGCATTTCTCTCTGAAACCATTTATGTGCAGATGGAACAAAACCTAAAATACATTGAGGGAACCACAAAACTCACTCGAAATCGCCATAGAAATGATACCCTTTTAAAGAAATTAAGAGAATAAATCAGTGTAGAGCACCAAAATTAGAGCTTTCTAGAGAAAACCCTAATCATCAGCCGTCAGCTGTGGTAAAACAATCTAGTGGCTCCAGGAACTAAACCCAGAAAAGTCATAAAAAAGAAAAAAAAACCAACAAATCTAGGATGTCTTAGACATTAAAAAGTAAGAATCTTTAACCAGGCGAGACGAGAAGAAACCATTGTGTTGCGCGAGCTTCTGCAATTGTATGGAAGAGTAAACAAAACCCTAGAGAGAGAGAGGTACGGGAACTCCAATGGAGAAATTGGGAGGATTATAAGATTGGAGCAAAGGAGATCGAAGTGTAAGATGTAGAGCAGAGAGTGGGAAATATTTTCCAAATTCACACTTTTTCAATTCTCTGAGCTGTTTTGTTTCATTGGTAAAAGGGAAAGTTTTTCTTCCTTTCTCTTGTTTTTTCTCATATCCTTCTTTTTTGGTGAAGATCTCCACACAAACAGTAACCAGCACTATCGCTTCTCCGACCTCTCCAAAAGATGGTGAATTGATTTTTTTTTTTTACATTTATTAAAGTTTTTTTGGTAATTACTAATTAATTGCTTTTATAATTGTGATTATATCATTTTATATTTTAATTCAACGAATTGCAATTATATCTAGGTTAAATTTACATCATTTGTATTTACTTTTTTTTTGTCAAATCATTTTTATTTGCTTGTAATGATCTAAATCTATAAATAATAGTGAAAACAATGGTAAATATATTAGATCGGAAAAAAAAAACTCATTATAAAAATTTACAAGATATAAATTTATATTAATTATAATTGCTGTACAAGTTTAAAATACTTACTGTACAAGTTTCATAATTTTATTACAAAACATATCCAAACCTTTAACTAAAGATACTTTTCTTTCGGACATTAAAAAAAAACTAAGTACCTGTCTGCTGCGCACGGACATAATTACTATACAAATTTTGTTATAATTTAATTATATCAAATTCTTTACTTAACATATTTTGTAATTTTTTTATCAGATTTAGAAAGTTTTTCTAATATATACGTGACATTCTCCATTTTCAATATTTGAAACTAAAATATTAGATATCCATAAATTACAAAAATTTATTGAATTATTTATTATTCTAAATTGATTCATATAATCCATGTATTAACATTATTTAACAATCTTATACACTTATAAATAGATATATATATATATAACGTAATATAAGAAGTACTATATTAAATGTCTATACTGTATAACTTTAGTGGATATATATAATATAATATAAGAAGTACTATATGAAACGATAACCAAATACAAATTATTTATTATTCTAAATTGATTCATATAGCCCATGTATTAACGTTATTTAACAATCATCTATATTTATAAATAGATAGTTTTATATATATATATATATAACATAATATAAAAAGTACTATAATAAATGTCTCTACTATATAACTTTAGTGGATATATATAACGTAATATAAGAAGTACTATACTAAACTATAACCAAATGCAAAGGAAAATATAATAAAAGAAATATCAAATAAAATAGAAAGATTCAACATAACATAAGATAGAAAGCCTTGTCATGAGAAAAAAAGAAATGTAGCTTATACAATGATATTCAGTCTTGTTGCATGGAATTTAAAGCGATAAAAATTAAAACTCCATCATAATCAAACGATTTTGTTCAGGGGTCTTTTTTTGTGCTTGTTCCAACTTGCGTCTCCGTCATGTTAAACTTGTTTCGAATCCTGAAAGCTTAAGAGACACATATGTATTTAAAGGTTATTGTATATATAAAATATTCTCAATATCATTGTCGGATTACTTATTTTCTATTGAAAATTAGGACATCATCCGTAGTAGGAGCAAAGAGAAGACGGGAAAAACCAATTGCATCATGAGCATGGATAGTTATTTTATCTATATACATAAAACGATCAGTAAGAACTATACATGCAAAATAAAACATTTATGAAATTAATGAAGATAATAATGACATATGCTTCATGACCCATACCTTCTTTTTTCTTTACGCTCTAATTGTTTAAAACACAAACTGCAAGAGGACCAATGAATCATTTACTTCTTTCTTTGATGTTAGCAGCAAATTCCACGTGTAAGATACATTTCAATTTCAAATCCCTTCGATTTAACAATAAAAGTTATAAACTTTATTACCAAGTCATAGTGATCATGAAAGAAAATATTGCTTACTCGAGATCTGTAATGATGAAAGTTATTTTCCTAACAGTATCTCCATCAGGATTGTTTGCGGCACGCGGTCATAATACTCTAGAATTACATAAAATATTAAATTTAATTATTCATTTTTTAATTTCATTACTATTAGATTTGTAATTGATTCTTTTGAAATTAAAAGTTTTTAAAAGTCTCTACAAACATTTGCTATAAATTGCTGATGTTAATTTTAATTGACATAACTTTATTATATATAACATTAAACGTAAAGTAAAAAATTAAAAAAATAAACGGTATTAGATCCTTAATGAAAACACATTAATAAGTTTTTTTTTTAAAATACATGTAGTGAAATCTCTTTAGATTCTTTTAAATATAAAATTGCTATTTATACAAAAAATATATAATTATAATTACATATTAAATTTATAGATAATTAATTTGTACAATTATTCATGTTAAAATTTCATTATTCTGTAGACTTTTCAATGATGATTTTAAAATTAAAATCTCCAAAAGAGTATATTCTCTAAAACCATTCGCTACAAATCGTTGATATATTATAATAGGAGTGATTTTTCAAATACATATATTACATATATTACATGTTCGTAACCTATAAGAATGTTAAACCTATATTATTTATTGAGTTTGTAAATGATTTATTTGAAGATACGATTAGAGAATACGTCTTCAATCGTTAGAATCTTCTTTGGCAACATTTCCACACGCTTTGGATTTAAAATATTTATAAATATCTTGAAGCGCACATGATTTTTTAGTCTTTTTATAGAGGGGGAATTGCTAAAAATAGGCCACAATTTGATTCCAAATGCAAAAGTATACCCCAAATTCAACCTATTGCAAAAATAGGTCAGATGGGTAGAGAAATTACCATTATCTCCTACATGAGTAAACAATAAAACGGATGTCTCAATTACGATTATAACCCTTCGAAGTCTGCAAATACTAATGAAGTCTGCTCAGCAGACTGATAAAGAAGTCTACTATAATATTAAAATTATTTTTAAATTTAAAAATTATATAAAAATAATGTAAACTGAAGTTTGTTTCCATAAATCAAATGTCAACAAGTATGATCTATAAAAATTATAATTTAATAAATATGAATCATTTTTAACCATCTAAGATAAACATAAAAAGTGAAAAGTTTTAAACTAAGGCTGCAGACTTCTTTATCAGTCTGCAAAGCAAACTTATAAGAAGTCTGCTATATTATTAAATTTTATATTTAAAATTTAAAATTATATAAAAATAATTTAAATTAAAATTTGTTTCTATAAATCAAATGTCAACAAGTATGATCTATATAAATTATAATTTAATAAAATAAATCATTTTAAACCATCTAAGATAAATATCAAAAATGAATAATTTTAAACTAGGGTTGTAGACTTCTTTATAAGTCTGCTCAAACCGTAAACGAAATTAAAATAAAATATTGATTTAAATCGGAAATAATTAACCTAACCAGATATAACCGGATATTTTTGCCCTATTATATAAATGAGATTTTACCCTAATTCAGAAACTCTCCACTCTGATCCCTCTCTCCAAAAACGGCGCTGCATTTTCTCTGTTGCTGTAACCTCTTTCTTTCTGTTCTCCATTTTTGCTATGTTCTTCGTTCACTTGAGTTCGGATCTGCAATCATCTACAACAAGGACCCAGCTTCGGACGACCTCGTAAGAATCTGTCCCATTTAATTATTTTACAAATTTTTGTTGATTTCATCTTCTTCTAATGCTATTTTGGTCGTTTTCTTTGTTATTTCATCTTATTGTTAGTACCGATCAACCAGAACAACACACCTCCTTCTCCTCCGCCGTAATCGTAACCGCCTCCGATGAGAAGGATGATTCGAACAAGCAGATCGTTCCGGCGTTTATCACGAAATCGGAGACGAAGAAGGAAAATATTCGGCCGGTGACGGAATTTCGGAGGACGGAATCGGCGATAGAGAGACTGAGCAGTGAGGAGTTTCGTTTGAAGGTAGAGAAATTCATAATGGAGAAGAAGAGGAGTCTCGTTCTGGAAAACGACGCCGTCCAATGGCAAGGGCTTGTTTGTGCTGTCTCAGGCTATGGCTCGTGCTAAAAACACATATAACTTGGAAGATAATTTTAGGAGCCGGTGACTTTTTAGATTCGCTGGTCTTTATGCTCTCATCATCAGAGATGCTTATGTTTTACGACGTTTATCTTTATTACTAATAATAATATAAACCAGTGTTCTAAAAATCGGTTTCTTCGGCCGCCTAGGCACCGAGTAGGCGCTAATAGATGGTGGACCGCCCCGATTTGGCTATAATCGGTTAAAAAATCGGGTAAAATGAAAAAATTATCTAAAACTTAATTTTTTGGTTATAAATCGGTAAACTAATGAAAGATTTAAGCTATTTTGATCAAGATATGTGTGTAACTGATGAAAAAAAGGTAGATATATGAAAATGTCAGAAGAAAAAAAACAGGGACAATGGTGGCCACTAGGGTTTTTAGGGGAAGAAGATGACTCATGGAAAAATGACGATTTTATCCTTCTCATTTAAGTAAAAAACAAGACAAATGCTCTTTAAAAGTCTCGAACCTCGGGTTGGAAGCAATAAATATGACTCCCTAACCACTACACACATATAGGTCATATATTCAACTTTACTAATATATAACCTTTATATATATAAAATCATAAAAAAATAACCAAAATTGGAAGCATAATGGTTCGAACCCACGTACTTTGGGCAACAAGAGGATATGTTTCCACCAGACCACAAGAGTTTGTTAACGTTGTATGCGTTAATAAAGTAATTTATATACTATCAAGACCGTTAACAAAAGTGGCCAATAGTTAAAGTTGAATACAAACCATGACAGGTAAATGCAAGAATAACTGATTTTTCAATCTTATACAAATGCAAGAACAATAACAACTAAAAATAATTGAAAGGAAGTAGACTTCTAAACTTCTTTAGAAGTCTGCTAAATCAAACAAGAAAATTCATTACTTTGTAATTATAACACATAATAACGTCAAATTCATATAGATGCAACATAAAAAACAAATAAACATGTCAAGACAAGAAAATTATTTTTACAAGTAACAAATATTTCAAAAATGAATTTAAAAAAAAAATAATTAGGCAGACTTCTTATGAGTCTGCTATGATATGCTAATACGTAACAGCAGACTTCATCTACAGACTTTTTTTAGAAGTCTGCTTAGATGTGCTAATTACCTTTTAAATCAAGAAA